ATTTAGCCCTCTTGATCCTTGAAGCCCTGGTCCCCACTCTCCCTGATGTATGATATGCCACCCGAGGTAGAGACCATCCTTTGTGTATTTATCCAGCCTTCTTGATGGACATTGTGGTGGTTCCCAGTGTCTTGCTATTCAAACAGTGAGTGTTCTTGAATGATTTTCCTTTGCACATGTGTGAATGCTCTTCCAGATTGCCAGGTTCCTAGGAGTGGAATCACTGGGTCACAGGGTTTGCACACTCAATCTTGTAGAGTTACTTGATTTCGTTAGAAAAGTTGTGCTGCTTGGTAAAAGAAATGATGGAAATACATAATCTTAGGGGAAAAAATTGCTAACATTACCTGAATACTTCTTATTGTGCTTTACACTCTCTCAATCATTCTTCCCAGCAACTCTGGGAGATACGTACTGCCATTACCATTGGTGTGGAAACTGAGGCTCATAGAGGTTAAAGAACCTTCCAGAGTTTCTCCAGCAAGTGATTGCTGAGTTGCAACTTGAGTCCAGGGTTGTCTGTTTTCAAAACTCCCAAAGGCCATGCTGCCTAGGCCACACCATATCACTCCCTCAGCTAAGGAGGACTCTAGAAGCAGAGTCACAATCATATCTGCAATTTAGAAAGTTCACTGTGAAATTAACAGGTCCCCATGGACAAGTTGCCTGACCCCTGAGCCAGTGTTCTCCTGAGTGCTGGAGCAGGGAGTAAAAGCCATCTCAGACGCTGGCCTACTCTCTGAGTGACTGTCTTCCCCTGCCTCCACTGCCCCACCCCTTGTCACCCTGCCTGGGATCAAAGTAGGAGGGTTTTCTATCTCCAGCAGGGACTGAGGGTCCCCCAGATCCACCCAGCTCTGCCCCCCTAGGCACTAAGGTAGCAGCTTCCAGGCAGTGGGAAGGTGGGAGGAAAGGGGAGAGTGGGGAGCCTCCAGGCCTGACACTCCCTCCCACCCTTCAGTTCTCTTCTCACCTTGGCTTCAAGCTCCCTCCTCCACTGTGCAAAAGCTCCTGGTATTAGTCACCAGCCATGCTCCTGGCTCCACACACCTCAACATCCCCCACTTGCCAGCGGTCACCATCACCACTCAGGAGCCCAGGAATTTATTGGCCTGGACCCTGTCAGGTGGGTTGGAGCAGAAAGGCCTTAAAGACTTGGGGACAGCCTGTGGAGAAGTGGGAACCTCAGTCACAGCGAGGGGAGGGGAAAGGTTGCTTTTGCAGGAAGTATTTCTGTCTTCTCCCAGGTTCCTGGGAGGAGGAAACCAGGTTCCTGTCTTCACTGTCTTTACTTCCTTATCTGTCAAATGCAGATAAGAGCATGTCCCTCTGGGGCTGGTGGGAGGATTGAGCGAAATAATGCAGTTATCATTTAGATAACCTGAAGTGATATTCTTACTGTGGTGATGGGTATTTGTTAGTGCTATTATTAAGTTAGATGGGGTGAATGTCCTCAGCCTGCCTGAGCTTGCCAGCTAGCTGGGACGCCCCCACCTCACCCCTCCATTTACAGGCCTTCCAGAGCCCCTGTCTTCCCCGCCTGCTGCATGACAGCTTGGGCACCCTCCCCACTGTAGTGCTGTGCCTCCAGCTCTTTGCTCACACTCTTCCCCTTCTGGGACTTCTTTCTCCACCTTGTCCTCAATTCAGGGCCATCTTTTCCAGAAAGCTTCCTTGATTGCCCCACCCTCACTTCTGGGCCTCTTCAGCCCCCAGTGATTCCCATGATCTCAACCCCTGATGTCTCTGACTTTCTCTGCCTCCGCCTACATCTGTCACTTCTGTAACCCATGAGCTCCTCAAGGGCAGGCCTAGGTTTGGAGCCAGATTAGTGGGTATTTAGGGGAGGGAAGGAGAAAGGAATTCAGCCCTAGGGCTGCCCTGAAACAGCTCCTAGTCTGGAGAGAGGTCACTGCAGACCCCCCTCATTACAGTTAAGGGGAAGAGGGGCTGGGGCTGCCAGGGGAGGGAATGTGGACCTAGGAGGTAGAACCTCTTTCTTGATGAGGGGTGGACATGGGTGTGGGGTGTGTGCAGAAATAGGAGGTAGGGTCTTGATTCTGGAATTGTTTAGAGATGGACAGAAGCCAGGACAATGGACTTGAAGCCCTGGGATGGAGTTGGTGGGCAGAAACTTGGATTAGAACCCGTACTTGGGCATGTGGCCTTGGCCAACTCACCTCTCCTCTGTGCCTGTCTCCTCATCTGCAGTGGCGATAATAACCTCACTTCACAAGGCTTTGTGGGGGCTCAGGGGGAGAATACCCGTTAAGTGCCCAGGGCTGTAGGTGCTCACTGCCTCTTCATTGATTCATCCAACAGAGACAATGAGTTGAACACCACTCACTAGGCTAAGCCCTGGGCCTAAAGTAAGACCCTGTTCCCGTCTCATGAAGAAGGGAGCAAGGACTGCTTCCAGTGGGGCCTTTTTGGCCCTGGGAAGGAACATGGTGTTTATCCTAAGAGTAATGGGAAAGCAGTGAAAGATTTCAAGTCCAGAGTGGCATGGTCAGACATGGGTTTTGAAAAGATAGCTTAGGCTATTATGAGAGGGATGGAGTAAAGGGAATAATGCTTCCAACATTCTCCCTCAAAAAAAACTACCTAGAGGCTGATGGTTTACAACGTACATCCTTTGAATTACATTCCTGAGCTCCCACAGAAGTAACAAATCCTCTCAAGCCAAGAACTAAGAGGGAGCTTCAATCAGGCTGGTAAATGAGATGAAGCCACAGCAACTTGAGCGTATTTACAGATTGCAGAAACCTAAGCCTTGAGTTTTAATGGCATGTAAGGGATTGGAAATAAGGTCCGGGAACTACCCAGCAACAGTATGAGGAGCTGGAATTTGCCTCCTTGCCACCCCCACATGCATCTTGCATCTTCAAAGGGCATCCTCAGAAAATAGGGGCATTGACCAGAAAACAGTACCCATCTACCTGCAAAGGGAGATGACAGTTCTGGTGGGAACAGAAGCTCCCTAGAAAATTATGCATGTTGATCTGCCTTCACACAAATTTTGGGTTTGAATATACACTACCTTTGTGGTCCTGGGAATACTGAACTAAAAGAGCATTGTAAGTGGTCTTAGGGTGGTAGTACCCCAGGTAACCTGGCTGAAGTAAGTGAAAATCTTCTCTGGAGGAATGGGTTCTTCAAGATCCCTTTGGGATCAGTCAAATAGGAGCTTATGGTAAAATTATAAAACACACAAGGAAACAAGACACTGGGAGCAATAGACACCAAAAGCAAGAAATAGCAGAATCAGAGCCTAAGAACCTAGAATGATGAGATATAGATTATAACTGATTATGTTTAAAATGTGTAAAGAAATCAAACATGGACTTGCGACAATACATAGGGAACAAAATACTGTCCAAAATGACCAAGCAGATTTGAAAAATAAGGAAGTGGAATTTCTGGAGATGAAAAATAAAATCATTGAAATTTAAAAACTCAGTAGACAGGATACATAGCAGATGAGACACACCTAAAGAGAAGTACTGAAATGAAAGATCTAAATAAATCACTCAGAATCTAACAGAGAGTGTGAAAGAGATGGCAAAGAAGAGAGTTAACAGACATGACATATGGAATAAAATGGGATAAGAGAGAAGAGTTAGGAGTGGGCAGGAGTGGAAGGAGTCTTCCATCAAACCTGGGTAAAGATGAGAGTGGCCAGGACTGAAAGGCACTGGGTGTAGAAGAGAGTGGATTAAGAGATCTTCAGGAGGTGGAGTTGATGGGGCTTACTGATGGAGTAGATGACCAGGGGGAGGATGTGTCAAAGATGACTATTTCTGGCTTGAGAAACTTGGTAGAGGGTGTTATTTATTGAGATGGCAAAGACTGGAAAGAACAGATTTGGGAGAACAAACAAGAATTCAGTTTTGAATACTTTTGAATACATGTTTCATTTTGCTTGGGAAGTTCTGCTGATGCATGACAGGGGAGGAGACATTAGAGCTAGGCCTTAAGATATCTGTAGAGTTTACCTGGTGGAGAAGGAACTTTAAATTAACTTTTGAGGAAAAGGATCTCCTTTCAGCAAGATTATCGAGAAGCTTTTTGGAACCTTCTCTACTCAAGAAACCCCTTATGAAGAGATATTTACAAGACCATCAGATAGGACTTTTGGGATCATCTCTCATCTTTCAGAAGGGAAGCCAAGGCTCAGAAAGGTCAGAGATTTGCTCTCCTGGTCTTAGACTCTTCATCCATTCATTCACCAACTTAACCAATAATTATCAGAAGCCCATTTTGTACCAGATACTTGATGCTGGTGAAACAACAGTGAACAAAACAAATATTCCTGCCCTCAGGAAGCTTATACTTTAGTGGAAGGAGACAGATAATAAACACAAAAATAAGTTTAAAAAAAGTCAGAGGATGATAAGAGCTGCAGAAGTGTAAGGACTGGAAGTAGGTTGGGTCTGCTGGAGGTGCCACTGGGAAGGTGACCCTTGAGCATAAAAGCCCTGGGCAGCTCTTACAGGCTGGCTGCCTGCTGTGGCCCATTGTGACAGTGCCGGTGGGGTTCTAGAGTGCAGGCCTGGGGAGGCCAGGAGAAGGCCTGGAGCAGCAGGAGGAAGAAAAGACTGAAGTGGGATTTAGTGGGTGGGCTGTGCCCTGCACTGGGGGCAGAAAAGCCCAATGGGTCAGAAGGGCCACAAAGACTCCTTTTACCCTTATGGGAGGTAAGATAATAAATTTACTCGAGGCTTCCTTGCGCCACCACCCCACCTACTCCATCCTCAGCCCCTCACAGATCCTTTCCACCAGCTCTGATGTCAACCCCCTTCTGCTCCCCCTCCCACCTTTAGGAACACTTAGAGGTAGGTCCAAATTTTCCTTGTGTCTTAGTACACAGTGAACAGCCTGGAGGAGCTCATGACAGGCATTCAAGGACCACCAGGGAGGTCAAGTGGGCCTTGGGAGGCTCTGTTCCAGCCAGGACCAGGGTTGAGGGCTGCTGGGTCACGCCATGTCTCTTCCATCAGGACTCCTGTGAGCAGCCTCCATGAGGCCCTGGACCAGTGCATGACCGCCCTGGACCTCTTCCTCACCAACCAGTTCTCAGAAGCACTCAACTACCTCAAGCCCAGGTGAGGTTTCAGCCCAGGTTGGGGGTGGAGGGTGCGTGTGTTCACACACACATGTGAGTGTAGGGATGGGGTGTCAGGTGGAGAATCAGAGGTCTTATGTGAGAGGAACCCCTTGTAACTGAATGCCTTTGGCCTTCTGGGTCACCATGACCCCTGAGATTCCCGTAAAAATGGCTCAGGCTCCCCATTCTGCAGCCGTGAACAGCTGGGCCTTCCCCAGGGTCACTATGACTTCCTTCTCCTTAGGTTCTTGTGGTCTTCTCCACTTTGATTTATTATCCCCACTGAATCAAGCTCTAAAATAGCCCCTTTTTGTTATTTTCCTCTGAAGTGCAAAAACTTGCCTTGCCTTTACTCAAGCCTTTTAGGGCAATGATGACAGTAGTTTAGTCATTTCTTCTAGTGTTGACTGCCCTATTTCTAAATAATACACTTAGACTGCTCTTTTTCACTTACAACTTTTTCTAATTTTTAAAAAAATGAAATTAAGTTGAGATATAATTCACATACCATAAAATACACTCTTGTTTACTTTTTGCTTTTAAATATCACCTAATGGTTGACAAGAATTTAGCTTTCTTAGATCCCTGCCCCTCCTCCCTCCCTTCATCCTCCTCCTGCCATTGTATCACAGTATTTGGCTAAATCAGTCATCAGTGTTTTCATGATTGTAATTACATAATTATGCTCATCCTAGAGACAAGTCTTACATTGTAAGATTACATTTCCTTTCTGGAATTAATAATTGACTTGTTTTTTTATTTGCTTAATTTGCTATACGTTTATCCTGAACTCTTTGTAACCACTCCATCAGGTCATGAGGTTTTCCTTAAATGCTCAGACATAGCAGATAAGCCCTCAGTCCCTCCTTTTCCTGGAAACCTGTCCCCTGGAGGACAGACCTGTCTACTGGCCACCTTCCAGCTGCCTCCTGGAACCCCCTTTGCTTCTCTCCTATCTGATTGGCCTGGCTTTTTCTCTCTTGTATCCTCCCTCATTTTCCCAGAGCGTATCCTCTAGAAACTCTTTCCTGAGGAAGAGTTGCACAGATAGAATCTTTCCCCCTCAGAAAGGTGAAGGCATTGCTTTCTGCCCTGTTTACTGGCTTCACCTGTAGCCTGAGAGTCCTCATTCTTTTTACTGGGCACGTGATCTTTTTTCCTTCTCCAGAAATGTTTAGGATCTTCTCTTTCATTCCTGCAAATCGAAATTTCACAATGATGTGCCAGAATGTAGGTCTTTTCACTTGTGTTTTTGTTTTTTGGAAACAGTTCTAGGAAATTCTCTTGTATGATCCCTCCATGTTCTGTTTCCTGGGCTTTCTTTAAGTCAGATATTGGACTTCCTGGATCAGCTCTCTTCTAAGCTACTTATCTACCCCCGCCTCAATTTCATATTTATTTATTTTTTTTTCTCTGATTTTTAGGAGACTTTCTCAACTTTAACATTAAATCCTTCCATCAATTTTTCTTTTTTGTGTGTAATCATATGATTAATTCCCCTAATACTCCTCAGTGTTCTCTGAATGTTCTTTTTTTGCCCCTAAAACATCTAAGTTCTTGGTTTATGAGTGCACTCTGTTCTTCATATCTATATTTAAAACATGAGTGTCCTTAGGATAGGGCCTGGCACGTAGCAAGCGTTCCACTGAATATTTATTGTTTTTATTAATATTATCACAGATTATTCTGTTTTTAACATATTTTATTCTTTTCCTAAATAGTCTCAGATTTCTTTAGGTTTCTTTTTTCTGTGTAATGGGGGGAGTCCTCTCCTCATGAGGGACTTTCCTGAAGTGCCTACTGGTCCCTGGCTGCCTGTCTGGTCATACTTAAGAGCAAATTCACTCAATGACTGACTGGAAAGTCCTAGCCAAGCAGCTTTGTAATTGGTGGGATCAGCTTTGGGATGATCTGGCAGAGAGCAGACCCCAGGTGTCAGCTTCTCCACTCCTCAACCTGGATGGAGAATCCCTGGCTGCCTGAATTCTGGGATTGGGATAGGGGTGAGGGACAGAGATCCAATCATGTCTGTGGTCCACTTGCCTAATCCCCTCTTTTCAGCTCTAGGTTGTCCTCTGCCACAACTGGTGCCCCCAGGCCCCCAGGGAAAGCAAGTGCTGATGCAGGGGACAGCTTTTCCCAAGTCTGCAAGTTTGGCCTGTTCAATTTCTCTAGACCCGACTGACCCACGGTTCTCCTGTCTGGGGTCAATGGCTTAGCTACTGTGGGTGTGGGGCTTCTGGGGCATCATAGCCATGAGTCTTACTACAGTTGCTTGGGCAGCATCCCCACACCTCAACTCCATCCACCCACTGAGGGGATCTGGGCTTGAGGTGAGGCAGGGCAGAGTCAACAGCTAGAGTGTGGCCACCATCTGTGACAGGCCAAACCCCACCCTCTTTCCATCCTGCTCCATCACTGAACAACCAGGTCCCCTCCCAGTGCTCTTAGAAGGCTCCCTGGCCCCATTTCCCTCCTGGTCATTACCTGTCTGTCCCTAAGTGGCTTCTGTGTACAACTACCCACCCCTACCTCCTTGTGCTCCCCTCCCACCCCCAGCCCCCACCTCACTGAGGGGCTGGCTCACCTTCCCTCACCTTAGGAAGATACTCTACTAGGGGTCCTACAGCCTAGGCCACCCCCCACCACCAGAGGCAATACCTGTCCTGAAGGAGGCACCACAGAGTGAACAGTCTTCCCATGAGGCTAACTTACCTCACACGTGAGGCAGTGTAGTGTAGCTTTTCTTTATCTGAACCCCTGCCCCATTCCAGAAAAGGATCTTTCTTTTTGAGGTTAAGAGCTTTCCCTTCAAACGGTGGGTGTCATTAGCACACTCCCCACACCTTCTTGTGACAACCAAACAGTGTTTCTAGAAATTGCCAAATGTCAGAAGGACAGGGCTGGGGGTGGTGGTGCAGTAAAAATACCTCCCCATCTCTATTTAGAGCCATTGGTCTAGAGAAAATAATTCTTGCTAAAAAATGACCTCCCCTCCCCATTCGTCGCCCCTGAAGCTTCAAAAGATGCTGGGGCTCAGCTTCATTCAGTTTTCCTCATTGTACACACAGTCTCATTTCATTGTTGTCAGTACTTTGCCCTTGGGGAGGAACTGGGCTCACCAAGCTTCTCCCGCCCCCACCACCCAGCTTCTGCTCTCCCTTTGTCACTTGTTAGTTAATTTTACTTCATGCTGTCTGTCCCGGAGCACTGTCTCTGGAACATGATAGCTACTCCATTCATTTGATGAAAAATTGGTCATGGTTGATAGGTAGCAGATCTAGAATTCAAATCCAGGCCCCATCAGCTCCACAGCTCTGCCTTCTGGGCCATCTTGGATCTCAAGCAGGTGGAGGAGTTTACCTTGGACAGAAGGCCTCATGCCTGCCTCCTCTACCATGAGATCAGTTGTGTGTGTGGGGTTGGGAGGTGGGTACAGCAAGTTCAAGGTGTGTCCCTGCACTGTCCTGGGATTCCTCTCAGGAAGGAGGCAAAGCCTCCTGCTGCTGAGAATAAGGGGCCAGGTTGCTGTGGTTGAGGAGGGTGGTGACAGGGATTGGGGAGAAGTTTCTGAGTGGCATGACAGGCCTGGCTGAGATTGGTGGCCCCGCTTGGAGTGTGTCTGTCCGTCCCTGTGGCTGGAGGCTTCCTGCATTGCTCAGTGGCCGCACTGTGGAGAAAGTGGGCAGTTGCGTGGCTCCTGGGCCGGGGTTCCTAACCAGGGCAGCAGTGGGTTGGAAGGCTCAGCAGTGAGGGTTTTGATAACAGTGGCTGGTAGAGGAAGCTCAGGTGAGGGTGAGGAAGGGAGGACAAGCTGGAGGTGAGGAGATGAGGCAGTGGGAGTGGAGAGGGAGAGAGAGAGAAAGTGGGGAGTTTATGGTAGGGCAGTGGGTGGTATCACTTAGGACTCTGGAAGCAGAGCTCTTCTTGGGTTGATGATGAGGTCAAGGTGTGACCCCTAGGATGGGGTGGTTGGGCACCCATGGATGGTTCTGTGCCCTCGTGTGTCTGGCAGCAGTGTGCAGGGTGCTGGGGCCGCAGTACTGCGTGAGGCGTGGGCTGCTGTCAGAATCACTCAGGGAATCAGTGAAACAAGCCATAAGGGTGGTGCTTATACAGGGACCCCAACTCATGTGGGTAGGGGCTGGCTAGGAAGGCTTTGGGACCAGCCACATAATTTCCATTGTGCATTGCAACATGAAAATGTGGAATCCTTTGTTCAAAGATTTTTAAGGATTATAGGATTTCAAGATGGTGACAACAGAGCACTAAACCAAGCATGGGGCCTCTGGGGCATGGCCCTGTGTGACTGTACACAGATCACACACCTGTGAAGTCTTCCTGGAGGAAGTGACATTTATGCTGAGATAGGCTGGATAAGGAGGAGTCAGCCAGATGGAGAGCGCATTTCCAGGCAGAGGAACAGCCTGTGCAAAGGCCTGGCAGTGAATGAGGATCTAGTGTATTTGGGGAACAGAGACACTCAGCCTGGCTGGAGTGGGGAGAGCTGAGGCAGGTCCCAGGAAAGAAAGGATAGTGTGACATAAGGTGGACTGGGGATGTAAGTCCCCCAGAAGGTGCTTGGGCTGGAGAGGAGGGCAGCAAGGTGGGGCCTGGGGTTGGGGGACTTTCGTGAAAATGAAGGAAAGTGGCTTGGGGACAGGGGGGCTGCCTCTGCCTTCCAGCCTAGAGCAGCCTTACCCAGAGAGGTTTTTGGGAAGTAAGTCCTTAGGCTGGGCCTGGAGGGGATTCCCAGGAAAGAGCAGTGGGGATTGGGCAGAGTCTATAGGCCTGATTGTGGGGACAGGAATGCCTGACAGTAGCTGACAAGGGCTACTGGCAGAGGAGGGAAGGGCTGGAGGCCACTGGGCTCAGCTAACCTCCAGGTGGCTAAGGAGTGTCACCCAGCTCTTCTGATGGCTCTTCCAGTGCCCTTCCCATCTTGACAGCTGGTCTGGTGGGTGAGACCCCAGTGGGCAGCGTGTCCAGAGCTGGGTCTAGCTCAGAGGTGAGGGGATTGTTGCTCCCAGGAGTCTGGATGCCACATGTACAAACAAAAATTTTGTGGAGTGCAGACTAAGCTTGGGGTGCCTTAGGTCTTGGGGTTGTTATACCTCTGTACCCTGAATTCCAGTCCAGACCATATTTGGGGGGCTTCCAGGTAGTGGGCTGGGGAGGGGCTAGGATTTCCAGCTGCAGGTACATGTTGGGGACCTTGGGCCTCAGACTAGAAATTCCACTTTGCCTGCCAGCTGCCCAGGTGGGGCGTCCCTCCTACTGGGCTGGGAGGGTGGGGCTGAGTCCTGGGCCTGGGACCTTGTGGAGGGGGAGGGGAGGTGAGAGTTGGAGAGGCCTGAGGGGAGGGGATTCCCTGGCGGGGGGTCTGGGTCTGTGTGCTGCCAGGGAAACCCCTTCTCAGTGTTTCAACAACCTTTGACCCTGGCAGGACACAGAGGGATTCAGACTCACTTTTACTGAGTATTGGCATTGTGGTCCTGGCCTGGGACCTATTTAAGCCACCGAAAGTCCTGGGAGAGAAGGATCATTGTATCCATTTTATAGAGGAGAAACTTGAGGCTCAGAGAGGTTCGCAGCTGTAACTAGCCAGTCCAGGAACCCAGCCTGTGTCTGAGGGACCCTGAAGCCTGAGTTCTGTCCCCACTGTGGGCTGTGGGCTGCTTTTCCACAAGCCACTGCCCTCAGGTAAGTGGTTCTTAGCAAAGACCTGGGAGGTGTCCTGGCAGCTACAAGGTCCAGTTTCCTTCATAAACTTTTGACTCCCAAGGATAGTATCTCCTGAGAATCACCCAGAAGTAGAAAAGCAACTTCACTTAACGGAAGTATTTTATGAATAAGAAAAGCAGGAAACTGGGTAAAGTCATGTGATTTTACGAGAGAACAAGTCTATAAACCTTAGTCATCTCTCTCTCCCCTGAAGTTCCCAGCATAAGCCTGGCGCTGAGGAGTTTGGAAAATAATTAATGAGGAAGTGTAGGGAAGGGAGTGAAAGCCGCTGCAGCATCTGCTGTGTGCCAGGCGGGGTAATTCCCAGAGTGGGCCAGCAGTATGTCCCCATTTTGCCGAAGCATAAATCAAGGCCCAGACACATGACTCCCCCAGGTACAGAGAGGGACTGGCATTGTTCCCAACCCTCCTTGCCTGTTGCTCTCTGCACACGTTAGACTAAATGCCACTCCCACCCACCACACCCTTTATTTGAAAGTCTGGGTCTATGGAGGAGCAGGGAGGCAGGAGGGGGAGGCTTCCTGAGGCTGGCTCACTGGGCCATGTCACGGTGGTGCTGAGACAGAGATAAATCCCATATAAGCTCTGTCCTTGAGGTGCCCACAGTCTGGGAGAGAGCTGAGCCTCTGCTGATAGAAGTTCAGTGTGACCTGTGCCTCAGTTATAGACATGTGCTCCCTGAGGAGGGAGCCCTGGGTTCCCAGTGGCCTTTGAGGCACTTGGGGGCCTTGACAGATGAGTCAGGGGATGGGGAGGGCATTTCAAGCTGAGGGAACAGCATGGACAAAGACCTGGAGGCAGAAAAGTGTGGAATCTTTCTGAGGAGGGTGTGTGTGGTTGAGTGTGGGTATAGTATTGAGTGTGATCAGATGGTGGGGCAGGAGCAGTAGTGATAAGAGAATCGGGCTGGAGAGGAGGGCAGCGCCTGGGCACCGGCGTTATCTCATGGGATGTAGAAACCATGGGAGGGCTTAACAGAGAAGGACAGGATCACACGAGGGGGTGGGGAGAGGCAGGAGGTGGCAAGGCCAGTGAGGTCCAGGAAACAAGGGAGGGGAGGCCTGGGGTAGGGCTTGAGGATAGATCAGACCCCACAGACAGGACCTGGGCTCGGCCTGTGGGAGGCGGGGCAGAAGGCGAGAGGCAGGCCCTGGGCGCAGGGATTACGGCCTCAGGCCAGCATGCTCCTAAGCCCTTTCGGAGTCCTCACAGCAGCCTTGCTGCTGCCATTCCTCTGGAAAGGGTGAGAAACTGAGGCTCAAATTCGGAAAGTCACTTACAGCCACTTAGCAAGAAGAAGAGGAGCTGGGATCCGAGGCTGCCTGAGCAGCCATGGAAGGGTCAGTCCTGGGGCGAGTCCCGTCCCCTCTCTGGACCTGTGTTTACCCCATGCAGGATGGGGAGGGGGTGGTAGGTGATGATGACACAGGGTTGGCTACTTTGGAGTTCTAGGCGTTGACCTTCTCTTGTCCCTTCTTTCTGGTAGAACCAAGGAGAGCATGTACCACTCGCTGACGTATGCCACCATCCTGGAAATGCAGGCCATGATGACGTTTGACCCCCAGGACATCTTACTTGCTGGCAACATGATGAAGGAGGCGCAGTCACTGTGTCAGAGGTCGGGGCCATGGGGCGGGCAGGGAGCAGGGGATGTGAGGCTCATATTTCTGTTGCCTTGGCCTATCCCAGTGCCTAAAATGCCACTATTAGTGCTGCTCCTTTTGGTTAAAAAGATGTGACCCCAAGTGCTAAGAGCTGCCCCTGTTAGCACTGTCTCAGGAGTCATGTTGTCTGAGCTAGTCACTGAGGGCTTCCAGGGGCCAGGCTAGATCAGGAGGAGATGATTCCTGGCTCTGTCACATAATAACTCTCTGACTTATGGCAAGTTCCTCTCCAGACTCAACTTTACTCATCTGTAAAATGGGTGTGATGACAGGGCTGTTGTGGGGACTGAATAAAGACATTAGTTACAGGACCTGGTGCATTGTTGGTGTTCAGTACACATTAACTGCTTGAATGCATGAACGAATAGACCCTTAGTGTTCATGCACAGGTGGAGTCATCATTCACTGGAACACACTCCTGCCCGCCCTAGGCCAGGCCTTGTGCTGGGCACTGGCTACCCGGGGAATCATCATACCCTGGCCCCTCTGATGCCTGAATGGCCTGATATGGGAGACAGGCACAGACAGTAACATCCCAGCATGATGCAGGGAAGCTCATGGGGTCGTGGGGTCCAGTCAGAAGAGTAGGAAAGGCTTCCTGGAGGAGGTGATGCTAGTCATCCTGGAGGGTGACTAGGGCTGGCCAGGCTAGAGGGAGCAGGGGAGGGGGGCTCCAAGCAGAGGTAAAAGCAAGGGCAAGGGTGTGAGAAAACCTGGATTCAGGGGAGTGGTCAGGGGTTCAGTGTGTGGAGTCCTATGGAAGGGCAGGAGATGCGGTCAGAGACACTTGAGCCCCTCGCTCGTCCCCCTGAATGACTTGAGGCCCCCTTTTCCTCTTCAGGCATCGGAGGAAGTCCTCTGTAACAGATTCCTTCAGCAGCCTGGTGCACCGCCCCACAATGGACCAGTTCACGGAAGGTGTGGCTTCTGGGATATCTTCTCAACCCCACTAACACCAGGCAGCCTGGTTCCAGGCCCAGGGAGGGTGGGAAGGGGCATTTATCCTCCTAGGCATCCCCTGAGGGACCCGGGCCCTGGCCTACATGCTGGGACACAGGTAGGTCAGCCCTGGGGCCTTTTGAGGAGTGGTCTCAGGTGAGATGGGGAGCAGGTGAGACTCACTTATCTGATGACATTACCTGCTGAGAGCCTCGGGGATTGTGGTTTTAGAGGCTGACACTCTGAGATGAGACAGCTGAGGGCAGTGGAAGAGATGGTCTGGGCTGCCAGAGTCATGTGGCATTTTGTGCCTTGACCACATGTGGCAGTCTTGGGGGTGGCAGGAGCCAGCTGTGAGCAATGTGGGGCCCTCAGTGCCAGGGCAAATGGCCCTCCTCACCCCAAGAGCAACTTGAAGTTTCCAGCACGAAACAGTGTCTGTGATGGTACCACTCTCTCCTTCATACCTTCCATGGCTCCCTGCTGCCCACAGGACCAAATCTGCAATCCCCAACCAGTGTTCAAGGCCCGTTACAGCAGATCTTTCCCTCATCTTTCCCCATCCTCTAAATCTCTCCCACCTCACCCCACTTTAACTTTCTGTGGCTCAGCTGTCCCCAGACATCTGAGTTGTTTGGTTCTCCTGGGCCTCTTCCTAGAAAGCACTTCCTGCCTCATCGTCTCTTCCCTTTTTCAGCTCAGATATCCTCCTTCTGGAAATCATTCCTGACTCCTCAGGTTGTGTTAGTCCTCCTCTAGTCCCACAGCCGGTGGGCTTCCCTGGGTTTGTCCATTCAGCTCAGCACCTTCTTGCCCAGCACTGTAGGGTGTGTGTGCTCCATACCTGCAGTGATGCCCGAAGGACTGGAGAACAAGGCCCAGGGCCCTGAGCTGACATTCTGGGTGGGGGTGGGGGGAATGTGAGCTAATTCGGGGCAATGCTGAGTGCCATGAAGGAGCCTGGGGCTGAGGGTCGGGGGGCAGGGTTAGCTGATGACTGAGGCTCCCTTTGCCTGTGGGAAGTGGGATGGGGAGGATTTGGCCGAAGCCTCCTGCCAAGAGTCCCAGGAGGCCGCAGGGCTTTGGTTTTCTCCCCACAGAGGAAATCCACGCTGAGGTTTGCTACGCAGAGTGCCTGCTGCAGAGAGCAGCCCTGACCTTCCTGCAGGTAGGAGCCCTCTCCTTGTACCAGCAGCCTGGGGGTTTCAGAAGTCGGATCTGTAGCAGCCATGACCAGCCCCCTTGCGGTTGAGGTGAGGTCTGAGGCTCAGTCACCCCAACACTCCTAGCCCTGGGCAGGCTCCCTGGCAGAGGTGATGGGTTTTACCCCCTCCGCACCAAGCACACGTGTTCCCATCCACTACTGGGATGCGCTCCACCTCATGGCTGCCATTTCCCTGCTGTTTTCGTGTCACATTTAGTGGCAGCCATTGTCACAGACCCTGCTTTACATTTGATTCATTCAACAAACAGGTTTGAATGAATCGAAGTTGACTCATTCAAAATGTTGACTTGCAGCACCTACAACACACCAGACTTTGTATATACATTACAGGCATGTCGTTTTTACAGACCTTACATATACTACATGTTACATGTTGGTTTTTATCTACATTTACATATATTATTTAATTGTCAGGCCTGTGAAGGAGAGGATTAGAGGGGAGAAACCACTTTGCCAGGGTCACATGGTTAGCAAATGGCAGAGCTGGGATTTGAACCCAGGTCTGGCCAACTTGGAGCCTGTGCTCCTCACCACAGGGGTGGCTACGAGAAACGTCACCTCATGATTTCACCAAAAAGCCGGGGTTATAATTATAACATAAAATCATCACGTAAAGAGGCATATTGGGGTGGAGAGGCACTGTTTATTTTTGTTAGCTATTTTTCTATCTTTTTCTACCTCAGATGATTAGATTTGGATTAATCTTAATTCTTTATTGGGATCACTGTAATAATTGCACCATGAATGGCCTTTTATTTCCTTTGCTTACTCTATTATTACACATAATTAAAAAAAATGCCCATGAGCCCCCCATGGAACAGATCCCTGCTGGCAAGTCTCCTCTGCCTCCCTTCACCAGAGGAACCACTACCTAGAGTTTTGTATCATCCTTCACCCTATTTTTAAAAATGGTTTTCTCAGCTTCCTATTCATGTCTGAACAGCATATTGTTATGTTTTAGTTGCCTTTGAGCTTCTTAAGGCCTCAAGCTGCGTGGGACTTGCTTTCTTCACTCAGCCATAGCTGTGTAACAGCTCTCCCCTCTCTGAGTATACCAGTTTGTTTATCCGTTCTCCTGCTGAAGGACATTCGGGTTGTTTCCGGCTCTTGGCTAAGATCAGTGGTGCTATTCTTGAAGATGTTCATCCATTTCTCTTGGATGTACACACAGGCGTGGAGTTTCCAAGTAGGCTGTAGGTATTGGTGCTTTAAATTGCACATGTGATTAACACCAGCTTGTAAAAAATACAAACAATCCAAAAATGAGTGAGCCTCCTCCTTCGCCACAGCTCCTCCACCTGGAGGAGGCACTATTAACTAGTGGGAGCATTTCCTCCAGGCCTTTCTCCAAACACATAGCCTATGTACATGTGAGCCTGGTAAAGGGGGTTGATCAATCCCTGGGCATTTTGGAGGTCTTGTTTGGCAAGCAGGACCCTCATGTCAAGTCCCAGTGGGGGTCGGGGTGGGAAGGCTTGGTGTGGCTGACCTCTGACCCTACCCGCATAGGACCCCTCAAAAAGCTGTGCCCAGGAAGGGGCAGGCAGGACTCAGAGCCTTGTATGATCCCGTTCACGGCTGTGGCTACCCATCCAGGCTCAGCCTTAACATCTCTCCCTCCTGCAGGATGAGAACATGGTGAGCTTCATCAAGGGCGGCATCAGAGTTCGAAACAGCTACCAGACTTACAAGTGAGTGGGGCTGGCCTGGGGGGGCCTGGGCCACAGCTTCTACCACCCTGTGCCCCTCAGGTAGAGGACACTGGCTGGAGACAGGAAACCTAAAATGCTGTGTGACCTCAGACAGATTTCTGTATCTTCAGGACTCCAGTTTTCTAGAATATTATTCCCCTGGTTTTCTGGGTGTATCTGTTCATTTGGTTGCCCCGAGTACTGACTCTGCCTGACCCTGAGCTAGGGGGAAATAAGACACATACGCTGCACAAACAGCTCAGCCTGGTGGGAGTAGGGGGAAGACACAGGAACAGAAATTTTGAGAACAGTGGCAGAACTCCTATACATCTGCTAAGGCCAGTCCAAATGCCTCTTTCTCCATGAAGCCTTCCTTGAACCCTCCAGGACACAGGGATGGTGTACACACACACACACACACACACACACACACGTGCACGCTCACACACACACACACACCCTCCCCAAACTGGGAGCTCCCTGAGGGCCAGATCATTTCCGTGCTGTCTTAGCCCTGGGCCACATGTAGGCCCTATTTATGAAGCAAAGAATGAAGGCTCAATCCAGAGCACTTTTATCCAATGTGCTGCCGCAGTCCTCATCTACAATTCCAAAATCAGAGAGGCTCTAAAAGCCTAATTCGCGCCAGCCTGTCCCAAGTTCGGCAATAAACTCCTTTTCCGTAAAAAGTTGACTTGAATTGACTTGAGACTGTCATCTTTATTTCCCCCACTTAACATGGCTATTTCCCTGCAGAGATTTTGTGAGTTTGATTTCAGGATACTACTGGGAAATAACACACCATGAAGTATATAGACCCCCCTTACTTTGTGGGTATCTGCTAGAATTGTTCAAGGGAAACCAGACAAGTGTTCTGGCCCCTCCAGTCTCCCCACCAGCTACCAGAGTGGTGTTTCCAAAGCACAAACCTTGTCAGATCCCTCCCTGCCAACTCCTGAGACCCCTCTTGCTCTTAGAATGAAGTCCTGGATTATTGCTGAGTCATTCCTGGAAGCTCCCCTTGTCCTCCTAGCCATATCTGGTACCCAACTCTGCCTCAGACATTTGGGCCTTCCCTCAGTTTTACACATATGCCAAGCTCATTCCTACCTCAGGGCCTTTGGACATGCTATTTTCTCTGCCAGGAACACTGTCAGGCTAACTCTTCATCCCTCAAGTTTTAGCTCAAATGTCAGCTCCTTGAGGAAGCCTTCCCAGAACCCCAAACTAGGTCAGGCCCCAGGGTTCTTCTCCTTTGAGATCCTTCTCATCCTCACAGTGACTCGGTAGGGATCTGTCCCCTAGAATGGGAGAGTCGTAAAGACGACAGCTTGGTGACTTTACTCCCTGCTGTCCTCTGGTGCTTGGCATAGAGAGGCCTTCACCAGTGTTTGCTGAGTGAACGCCCTCAAGATACTCATGGCCTGGGAAGGAGGTAGGCACATCTTTAAAGCCCCTGTCCTGCCCCCGGCAGGCTGGGATATGGGCTCAGTGCCATTGGTGACCAGAAGAAAGAGGGTTGGATTCCAACCAAGAGACTCTAGGAAGATTTCCTTAAGGAGAAGGTGTTGGAGTTAACCCAGTGGTTCTCAACTGGGGGCAGTTTTGCACCCCAGGAGACAGTGGCATTGTCTGGGGACGTTCTGGTTGTCATACTGGGGGGAGGCTGCTCCTGCCGTCTCGCGGGTAGAGGCCAAGGAATGCCGCTGAACATCCTAGGATGCACAGGGCAGCCCTCCACCTCCACCTGAACAAAGAATTATCCAGCCTAAAATGTCAGTAGTGCTAAGGCTGAGAAATAGTTCTAGACAGAATGCAGAGCACAGGCAGACACCTAAATGTTGGACAAGGCAGGTGTGCAAGGGCAGGAAGTATGTCATTATGGTGGGAGATGGGGCTAGAAATTCCTCTAATATTGGCTCTCTGGATTACCAGACTGTTACAAATCTACTATCAGGGAGTTCTGAGATCAGCTGGGAGTAGGGGCAACCTAGAGCCAGCTGGAAGGGGGACCCAGACGCCCCTGTGGCTGAAACAGGCTTTGCATCCCTCTGCAGGGAGCTGGACAGCCTCATGCAGTCCTCACAGTACTGCAAGGGAGAGAACCACAGGCACTTTGAAGGAGGGGTGAAGCTTGGTGTGGGAGCCTTCAACCTGGTAAGTGGGTGTACCCTCGCCATGTCCACAGCATCTGGGATCAAGAGTAACCTCCCTTGCAGATCCCTGCCCTGCACATGGTCTCTATGGGGCTACTGTGCCAGATCCCAGTGGTGAAGCAGACGTTGCGGGCTTCGGGCTGTAATTGCCCAAGGTGGCTTGGCTGGGAGTGATGAGACTATGATTTTGACGCAGTCTGCCCCAAACTGTCACACTGTAGTGCCTCTCTCTCTGGGGAAGTTGGCTTTCAGAAACCTGGGGCCTCGTGGGCATTCTGGAGACAGGGCCTGTGCCTCTGGGATTACCCCCAGGACTCTGGAGGTGTGGAGAGTGGGAGGGCCATCCCTGCCCCTCACCTGCCCACCTGCCTCTGTTCCTGCAGACCCTGTCCATGCTTCCTACTAGGATCCTGCGGCTGCTGGAATTTGTGGGGTTTTCAGGAAACAAGGTAACCACCTCTCTTCTGGGGCTCCCGACCCGCTCAGCCCCAGGGCTGGAGCTCAGTTGTGCAGGGTAGGGCTGTGGGGCCTGAGTGTCAGTCCTGGCTCAGCCTCCCTCAGTGTGTGGCCCTGGACAAGGGCTAAAGCTCTCTGGGCCTCAGTCTTCTCTACTGCAAGTGTGGCCAGTGATCCCTGCCTCACCCGCCCAGGGCAGAGAGGCTCTAGGGTAGGAGTGAAGAGCAGCTTCATGCAGTGGCCTGGTGTCGTATTCTGTGAGCCTGGCCAATGCCAGGAACCTGGTCCTTCTCCCCTCAGAAGACCTTGAGCAAGTCCCTTCCCTTGAGACCATTTTCTGGTCTGAGAGATGCAAAAGGGAAGCCTTACTGTGCATTGACCTTGAGGGTGAGAACCAGAGGACTCAAGCACCCAAAGGTTTTACTGAGGGCAGGAATCTGAGTAACAGATAGCAGATCAGGGGGGACTCCCTGGTGGAGGAGGCCCAGCATGGTAGAAGGAACATTAACCTGGAAGTCATGAGCCCTGGGTCAGTCCAGCCTCCTCCACAGCTCCCTGTGACTCTGAGCAAGTCCCGCCCTCCTCTGGGCTTTGTTTTTGGTAAAACAAGGGGCTTTTTTTTGAGATAAGCTCAGTGTTTCTCAAACTTGGACTTTCTCTGGCCCTTCCTGATTTTTGCTATGTTCACGAACCTCTATATTATTATCTGTACATTATTTTTCTCAAATGAGGCTCATATTTTTACTTAAATTTATTTAAAGGAAACATTGCTACACAGAAAACCCATATTATGTGGCATGATAAGAACACAATCATAACAATAAATACCACAAGGACACTGTGTGGCCAGCCAAGGCTGTTTCTCTCTGTGTGAAAGGGAGCTTAAGGCAAAGCGATGTTGAATGCAAGCCAGCACAGGACTAAGGCTTTCTCCTGGACGCCATGAGGAGGACAGACAGCACTGGGATGGGAAGATCCTCACCTGGGACCCTGTGCTTCCTCATACCCTGCCTTGGACCTCTAAAATCTTAGTTGCCATCTGTGGTCCATGGCCCAGGGAAACACTGGTTAGAGGCTCGAAGGTCCCTTTCAGTTTTGTTTTCATAAGAAGGCCCTTGGGTCATGAGTAGGATTTCAGGCTGATGATGAGAAGGAAGAACATGAGAAGGTCTGAAAAATAAAGTGTGGGCTGCCTGGCCAGGAAGAGAGGGTTGGTGAGGCCAGAGCAAGAGAGACCTCCAGCACCAGCTCTGGCTTTGTCTTTCCTTGGGGCAAGGGAGCTATGGAGGGTTTGAGGCAGGGGTGCGGCAGGTCAGATCTGTACACCTGAAAGAGCAAGAATGTGCTGGAGGGCAGAGATTGTAGGCAGGAATGCAAGTGGGCTCTGACCTCTCACTCCTCCCTAGCCAGGCACGGAGCCTTCTCCTCCGGGGAGCCTTCCCAGACTGCAATCCTCATGGCCCTACCTGTGCCCTGAGCCTGTGGTTAGGATTATCTGCCTCCTTATCATTCCTACTTCCCCACCAGACTTGGGGCTGCTCTGGGCCTCGGTGCGCACCCTGGGGATGGAGCAGATAAATAAAGGGAGGAATGGGGAAGGAGCTGTTGAGAACGTGGGGACACCTGCACCCAAGCATTTGTCCTGGCCATGGCAGCAGTGTACCCTGCCCCCAGGAAGGTGGCTGAGGCACCGAAGGGGCAGCCCCTTGTTCTGGGTGGTGCAGTCTGGGAGCAGCTGACCCAGCCTCCAGGGTTCCAGAGTCGAAGTCCAGGCTCTCTGGTCCCAGCTGTGGCAGCACTGCCCTCACTACCGTTCAGTGTCCGCCTGCGCCCCTCGCCTTCCCTGGGCCCCAGGTCCTGCTGGCCTCAGCCTGCCTGTCTTTCCCCCAGGACTACGGGCTGCTGCAGCTGGAGGAGGGGGCGTCGGGGCACAGCTTCCGCGCCGTGCTCTGTGTCATGCTGCTGCTGTGCTACCACACCTTCCTCACCTTCGTGCTCGGTAGGAGAGCCCTCAGGGCCAGGGCCAGGGCCTCTGGGGTTTGACTGGCTCTAAGGGCAGGGGGTGAGAGGGCGAGGCTCTGCTCGGGTCCCCGGGACTGGGGGTGTGGCACTGAAACCAGAAACAACAGAGCTGCATCAAGTGTCCTGGGGCCTGGCCTGCTGACCACTCATTTCCTCACGGTGTGACCAGGTTCCAGCCTCAGTTTTCTCACCTGTGAGATGGGGGTGGTCTTGCCCATCTTTTACAGGGTGTGAAGATGCTGTAGGCTGTTCTTATTTAGTCCTCACATCACCCTGGAGATAGGAGAATTATCATCCCCAATTCACAGAGGGGAAACAGCCCCTGAGGAGCCCTTGGGAGGTTGCTGGGAGTCTCGCCAGGGAGGGTGGTGACATGTGCTGCTGTCCCCCCGCCTCCTTCAGGCACCGGGAATGTCAACACTGAGGAGGCAGAGAAGCTTTTGAAGCCCTACCTGAAGCGGTACCCCAAGGTGAGCCCTACCTCCTGGCAGACACCCCCAGCACACGCATGCCCCGCAGACCCACACAGACCACATGCATGTCATTGCAGGGTGCCATATTCCTGTTCTTTGCGGGCCGGATTGAAGCCATTAAAGGCAATATTGACACGGTGAGTATGGGGGTCTGTGCCAGTGCTGGAGGCCCCTCGAGTCTCCCAGGCCAGGAGGGTCTTCCTGTCTTAGACACACGCAGACAGACTGGTCCTCTCGGAGAGGACCAGCGAGAGAGCAGGGCCATGACAGTGTGGGAAGACGAGGGAGGAGGTGGCATTTGTGGTCAGTAGGATCTGATGGGGAGACGGAGGACTACAGCATCCCGGAGAGGGAGGTCCCTGAGTTAAGGCAGCGATGCGGGAAGCCCGCTGTCTGGGATGTGGTGATGGGCTGGCACCTGCTGAATGGAGAAGTGGTGCCAAAAGGTGAGGTGGGCACCTTGACCAAGGCGTCTGGACTCTGTGGGTGGGAAGGAGCCACTGAAAGGGTGAGAGAGAGGAAGGCTACCGCTCCAGCAGAGTCCCAGCAGTAAGCCGTGGCCTTCTGGGGTCTGTCCGTGGCCCCGGCTGTGATTGCTCAGGCAGCAGGACAGACACCCCAGGTCCAGGTCGCTTCGTGGGAGTTGCTGAAACCTTTGGAGTTTTCTCTGGGACATAGACATTATTCTGTCACTTGAACGTTAACACTTTCCACTTCCTGTTGTCCCTCCGTTACAGCTCTGTCCCACCCTTCTATTTTGTGCTGAGGCTGGAGTCCCAGGGCCAGGCAGTAGGTGGGCCCAGGTCATGTACGACTTAGGGGGCAGAACCAGGGCTGGAGGCCACAACTCCTATCTCCCCCACGCTGCCCCTGGCCCTCTCCCAAGCCCGGCACAGCGCTGGGCCTGCCATGGGCCTGAGTGGGGGCAGAGGGCACAGAGAATGGGGCGGGATGGGCTGGGGGGCCCCGCCGAGGCTAACTGGCAGGTGCCCACAGGCCATCCGGCTGTTCGAGGAGTGCTGTGAGGCCCAGCAGCACTGGAAGCAGTTCCACCACATGTGCTACTGGGAGCTGATGTGGTGCTTCACCTACAAGGGCCAGTGGAAGATGGCCTACTTCTACGCAGACCTGCTCAGCAAGGAGAACTCCTGGTCCAAGGTGGGCTGACAGCATGTGCTGGGGGTGTTGGGGACCCAGCCAACCCAGACTGGCCATGAGCCCCCAGACCAAGGGCCACACCCCTAACTGAACACAGATGTCTCAACTGGAGTTTGAACAGAACCATACATTCAGCTAGGTGTCAGGATTGGAAGGAACTAAAGACCATGAGGGGCAGAACTACAGTGTGTCTGTTGAGATTTTTAGTCACAAAGGACAGAGGCGTAGCTCATACTGTCTAGGTGAGTGTTGTCCAACAGAACTTTGTGTTGTGGTGGAAACATTCTATTTCTGCACTGTCCAGTGTGGTTGCTCCCAGCCACATGTGCACACTGAGCACTTGAAATGTGTCTACTGCAACTGGGAAACTGGATGTTTTCAATTTTATTTTGTTTTAATTAATTTAAATTTAAAAAGTTACATGGAACTAGTGGATATACTACTGGACCATGCGGGTCTAAAACACAGATGGCTCATTGGTTCATAATAACTGAAAATTCTGGGCACATCTGACCAGGTAGGGCTAAATTCAGGAATTCAGTTTACGTCATCTGAGCTTATTTTTTCCATCTGGAGCTGTGCTTTCCTCTGTGACATCTTTGCTGTACAGGCAGGTCCTCTCCATGTGGTAGCAGGGTGGCTCTGAGCTGCCTGCCCCCAACTCACATCTTCTGTTTGGTTTCAACCGAAGTCCCAAAATAGAGCCTCATTGGTCTGCCTTGGATCACAAGGCAGTGCCTGGAGACCGGTGGGAAGACTCCTCATGGACCGGGAGTAGGAGAGGGTTGGTTCTCCAGAAGAAAAATGAGGTGCTGTCCCCAGAATAAGTGTAGCTGGGGGTGGGCATTAAAGAGATGCCATGTGGGCGGAACAAAGCAAAACATGCTCAGCATAGACCAAAGCTTACAACACCATGGTAAGTGGTGAAATAAGTATTAGCCCTTATCATCATAGTAACAATAGCACAGAATTCTGCACCTAGAGTCTTGGAATCATCTAGACCATCAGAGAGCAAGTGGTGCTGTCAGATCCACAGCACATGTATCTCAATAACCTTAAACCCCTGTCTCATCCCTCCCTGACTTCTGCAAGGAAGTCGCTTTCCAGCCCGCCTGCCTGGGGCCCAGGCTGAAAGGGAATTCTCTGGGCCAGGGCAGGCGGGGCTGGGAAGAGGAGAGGGCTTCACTGTGTGCCCTGTGTGCCCAGCGCTCAGCATTTCCGCCACACCACACGCAGCGAGGTAGAAGCTCTCCCCATCAGGCACACAAGGAACACTGAGGCTAAGAGAGGGTATGTGACTTTCCTGGGCCACAATGCTGCTGGTGATAGACACTGGATTTGAAGACAGTTCTGTGTGACTAAAAGGCCTCTGCTTTTCCCTTGCCCCTCAAGTCCTCCCAGGAGGCCCAGCTTGCCCTGAGACCACCCTGCTGTTGCAGGCACTTCCCTGTGGGCCAGCATTCATTCCTCATCACCTCCCACTCCCAACAGGAACACAGCCTTGGGGGACCTTTTTGAGCTAAAGTGACCTAGAAGCCTTCCTGTGGGGTGAGGCGGGCAGCTGGGTCCGGCGGCCTGGGGAGGAAGAGGCCTGGGGGGGGCCACACAGCTGCGGTGACGAGCAGAGGGAAGGCCAGGCCTCCCAGGTGCTAGGAGTCTGGCCATGAGTCCGCTCGGTCCCTGGCTCTCTGTGCGACTTCGGGGTGGTCAGCTCCTCTCTCTAACGATTTCCTCAGAAGGGTTTCCTGTGAAAGTGGGGGTTGTGGCACCCCAGGTTCTGGGGCCTCATTCATTCCTAGTTTCCAGCATTTGGCCACCAGACTCCACCAACTTCCAGCTCTAGAGAGTTGTCCTGTGGCCACTGCCATATGTGCTGGCCCTCTGCTCAGCATCCATCTCTGCCTGTTCTGTGCTGAGCCGTCCCTGTGAGCCCATCACATTTCCCCCGGTGCCTGCACCTTGGGACGGCCAGAAACCAGGTGGTGACAACTGTCTGCTCAGTGCTGTGATGGGGGAGGCCGAGGGGAGATCAGAGGCAGTCCTGGGCATCCCAGCCAAGAGGACAAGGAAGGTTTCTAGAAGAGATGTCTGAACTGAATCTTGGAGGAGGAAGAATTAGGGCGGCAGAGTGGAGGAGGTGGAAGGACACCCCAGTCGAAGAGAACAGCAAGGGCAAAGGCTTGGAAGCTAGGGTGCTGTCTACAGGTTCTGTGTCAACAGGTGAAGGGTTTGTGGGTGGGAGTTGAGGGACCTCCCCCTCTAAGCCACTCGCTGTAAGCTTCCTGAGGGCATGGACTGTCTGACTGCACAGAGTCTGGTGGAATAATCCAGCAAAATGAATGTGGAACCAGCAAGCAGACAGATAACTCTGGGAGACAGGACTCTCATCAGGGGAGGTGGCTGCTGTTTTCTATCCCTTGATAACTTGAAATGTCCATAGGTCTCACAACTCTAGGTCACTGCATCCGTCCTGACTCTTGTTGACTCAGTGAGGGTAGGAAACAGGTTGAGAAACTGTTCTAGACAGAATGTAGAGCACAAGCAAACACCTAGGTGTTGGACAAGGCAGGTGTGCTAGGGCTGACACGGCGGGGCAGGAGAAGGCTCTGAGAGGAAGCCAGTGGATGTGCCTGGCAGAGATGGGACGGTGGCATCCCAGGCAGAGGGACAGCACAGGCAAAAGCCTGAGGTGAGTTTAAGGAGCGATGGGGAAGAAGTGGCCAGAAGAGGAGCCAGAAAAGCGGGTCACGAGGGCCCTGAGTGGCTGTTTGGGCATTAGTCTAACAGTGGGGAAAGCCCTTGATGTTTGTGGCTTAGATCTGTGCTTTAAGAAATCCCTCCTGCTGTCGCTGGGGAACCCTGCGTGCAGGTCTTGTTCTAGGGCAGAACATACAACAGTGAATAAAGCAGACTCCCTGAAGGCTCACGTTCTAGTGGGGAGAGAGACAAGAAAACACACAAATAGATTTGCAGAGTAAGATAACGTCAGGTTCTGGTAAGTGCAATAGAAGTCGGGCAAGGTGAGGATGCCGGGCGTGATGAGCACTGTGGTCAGGGAGGCCTGTCTGAGGAGGCACCAGAATGGAGTGCAGCAGCCAGCCATGCAGACATCCCAGTGAAGAACGTTCTAGGCAGAGGGCACGGTAGATGCAAGGGCAAGTGGAGTAAAGCTGTGCATCTGATACACTCTGGAAACAGCTTGGGGGCTGCTGTGGCTAGAGTGAGGGGCAAACAGAAGCAGATGAAGTTGGAGAGGAAACTGGGGGAGACTGGATAGGGTCTCACAGGCCATGATGGGGAATTTGGATGTTATCCTAAGTGTGATTGGATATCATGAGATTTCAAGGAGGACTGACGTGATCTGATTTAAAAAGATGAGAGTGGCGATGGTGTGCGAAGTGGCTTCTGGGGGCAGGAGTGGGAGCAGGAGATCAGTTAGGAGACCTTATGGACTAGGACAGAAGAAAGGCACCCCTGGTGGCCTGGATCACAGAGACAGTGTGGAGGCTGGTGTGATACTTGAGGTGAACGGTGGGAAATGGCCAGTGGGATTCAGGAGCTCCATAGGAGGTAAAATCTTGAGGACTTGGTGGCTCACTGCCAGGGCTGGGGAGAGGGAGAAGGCATGGATGACCCAAGGTGGTTAAAGATGGTATGGGGAACAGATGTTACTGAGGGAAGCTTCTCAGCATGCCCCATAAAGACCAACTTTTCCTCACCTTGTGAAGGACAGACTGAGGTGCTGAGGGCAGAGTGGAACTGGGAGTAGCCCTAGGCTTCAGCATGGGTGGGGCTGCCAGGTGGAGGCTGCTTTCTGCCTTCTCCTGGAACAGACTCCAGGATGTCCTGTTCCCTTTGCTCCTCCACTCCCTACACTTTCTGGGCTTTGGGCAGCCAGTTCCTCTGTAGCCGCCCCAGGTGGCAGGAGCTGTGGTTCAAGGCTTGGCCACTGGAGGGCAGCACAGAGCCAGGCACTCCTGGCACTGGACTTCAGCAAAGGGGCAAGGCTTTCAGGAATGGATCCCTAGGGTGGGGGCCAGGGGAGGGAGTGCTCTGCAGAGCCTCCCCTTCCCTGTCAGTGGATCCAGTGGCAAGACCCTTGAAGCCACACAAACGTGGGGTCACTCCCAGTTCTGCCTCTGGCAGCTCAGCTTCCCTGGATGCAAAGGTGGGTTAAGGATTCCTTTCCGATATTGTCTTTGGGATCAAGTGAGATGATGTGTATCAGTTACCTGGGCACACAGTAAGGCAGTTTCACCAAGGGACCCTGAGCTGAGCCCGGACCCAGGGCCTTTCTCTTTCTTCTGGCCTCATATCTCTTCTTTTACGCATCCCATGCTTTATGCTATTGACTTGTATCCTACTTAGGCATCTCTGTCCTCCTTTGCTCGGCTCAGGCTGTTCTCTTTGCCTGGAAGGTCCTTTTTCAAGTCTCTGTGAATCTTCGCATTGGCCTTCAGGGGCCCAGTCTGAAGTAGCTGCTTCCCAAAAGCCCTTGCTCCCCTGTCATTGTGTCACCATTCTATCCTCAGCACTACCCCACGCATCCACTAGTTGCTTGAGTCCTCTCTGCTGCTTCAGAGTGGAGACAGCAGCTGCTTAGACTTGGCCCATCGTGGATTTAATTCCTAGTTCAAGTCCCCAAGTTGCTTCAGCTTCCTTACCCAGTTTCTTCCCTGGGCTTGGGGATAATAGAATGTTAGCTACTATGCTGGGCCATAGCAATGTCCCAGTGAGGTATTTGTGCCAGTTTGGGACTGTGATCAGAGGGCGGGTTGCTCACACCTGACTGTTGCTCTGCCTCGCACAGGCCACCTACATCTACATGAAGGCTGCCTACCTTAGCATGTTTGGGAAGGAGGACTACAAGCCGTTCGGGGATGACGAAGTGGAGTTGTTTAGGTGGGTCTGACCATTGCTCCCGGTCATAGGTCTCAGCCAGGCTCTGCTCACAGCCACCCTGAGCAGAGGGAGGTGGGGGCTGTCATCTCCCCTGCCCTGAGCCCCTGACCCTCCCCCAGGATCACCCCATTGACACCCTATACCTGTCATTCCCTCTGTCACCATCTCCTCCTGCTGCTGTCATTAGAGCCTTTGAATCTGTTCAGAGTTTTCTTTCACAAAAGTGGTTTTGTCAGCATCCTTTGCACTGAACCTCTGTCATCTGGAGTGTAGGACAGATGTAGACACTGAGGTCCAGAGAGGTTCCTCCTGCTGAGTTAACCTGGTACACTCAGAGAAGCACAGAGTTGAAATCAAATAAACAGGACTAAATCTAGCCTCTGCCATTTGTTAGCTGTGTCACCTTGGACAATTTCAGCATCTACAAAATGGGAGTAACAACCTCTGCTTTGCAGGGTTTTGCAAATCAGATAGAGAACAGAGTTAAAGAGCCTGGCATAGGGCCTGGAGCCACTAAATGGTGGCTGCTTTTGTTCTTATCTGCACTGCTGTTTGCCTTCTGTGAAGGACCTAGAGCAGGACTCAGCTATGGCAGGCCAAGGATAGAGCCTAGGGCTTCCTCCAGTCATGGTGAAGGTTGCCCCTAACTTGCAGACATGAAAGTAGGGGTAACCCGAGCTTCCTGGGCCACCACTGTCACAATCAGAGGGCGTTTATCATTTACCAAGCGACTCTGTCTCCATCTTATGTAACTCTTCCAGAAGACCTATGAGGGTAAGAATCTGCTGGGGAGGAAGAGTAATTTCTCCTCCAGCCTTCTACGTTCTTGGCTGAGACCCTCATAAGAAGACAAATGAACAGTAAAAAAAAACAGAAGTTTAATAACTGTATACATACATGGGAGAGACCCAGGAAAGCTGAGTAATTCTGAAATGGCCAAACCATTACCTTAACTACCATTTCCAGCTAAAGGACAGAGGATCTGGGGGGATAGGGAGCCAGTTATGGGAGGTTTTCAGGTAAAAGAGGATATAGTTGTTATGCAGGTTTAAGTCTCTGCCTTCTCCATTGACAAAGAGTTTCTGGAGATTCATTTATCCTCCTCTTCCTGGTACAGAGACACCCTGTCAAATTGAGATTTCCTCTATAAATGAAAATGTCTCTTACCAAAAGGTAATTTCTACTAGGTTTTCAGAGTTTTTTGTGTGTCTGCTGTGTCTTAAAAATAATCAGCCTGAAATAATCCTTATGCTGAAGAGGCATATTTGGGGGTGATAACTGCTCCCCTTCAAATCATCATCTCCATTTTTGGGATGAGAAATCTGGCCCAGAGAGGTTCCACAGTGAATAAGCAGGGGAGGTGTTTGGTGGGGGACCTCACAACTAGGTCCAGCTGTTTCCTGGGCCTGGACAGCTCAGGTCTGAAGGTCACAGCCACACCCTGTGACTGGGGCAGAGATGGAGGAGGGGTGGAGCTGGGAGGGTGAGGCCCCAGATGTGGAGGCTTGCCCTGCTGCATACCGCATTTTACTCTGCCCTTGCAAACAGCTGGGGAGGCCACAACTCTCATGGCCAGAGTTAATTAAAGGTTTGTGCTGTGCGGTCTTGGGCAGGTCCTTCTCTTTCTGTCTGTGAAACTGGGGTCAGACTTCCGCTGGGCCTTCTTGAAATGGGGCCTGGGAGTAGAGGAGAGACAACTAGAAGGCAAAGCAGGACTGGGGCGTTTGTGCACGTTCTCACCTCTGGCTGCTGGTGTGGGGGAGTCCCTTGCCTAGTCACAGGAAGTGGTCAGGTCTTGGCTCAGGGCCTGTGAAATACAGCCATAGCCACAGGCTATGAGTCCAGCACTCTCATCATATAGATGGGGAAACCGAGGCTCAGAGAAGGGCCAAGCAGAGGCTAGGCAGGCTGGGGACTCTCAGTCCTTTCTAGCTTTTTCTCACCCTCTCCCCACCCTCTTATCTCTTCCACAGAGCTGTACCAGGCCTGAAGCTCAAGATTGCTGGGAAATCTCTACCACAGAGAAGTTTGCCATCCGGAAGTCCAGACGCTACCTCTCCCCCAAACCTGTCTCATTGCCAATCCCTGCTCTGGTGGGTAGGAGGGTCTTGACTGGCCCTGAACTCTAGTTTGGGATTGTCGGGGTTAGTTAAGAGCCAGGGATACAGCCACTGACCCCAGGGCAAGTGGATGAGGGAGAAAGACCTTCTTCCCTCAGGGACCGGGAGAGGATTTCCCAATTCACCTGGCACTGGGTGGGGGACACAGACGAGTCTGAGCCTGCCCCAGCCTCTGGAAAGCACTGGTCTGATAAGGGTGGGGAGACAGGCGAGCAGGTTGCAGACACCTCAAGGCAGAAAGAGCAGCCCTCCTAGACAGCCTGTTCCCGGGCAGAGGCATCACTTGGCTGTTTGTGTTCCCACGCTGTCTGTTTCTGTCTTGTCATGTGATGATAATTGTTGTTTACACTGTCCCCCCTCACTGAACCGAGCTTTTCTGAGGCTGGGACCATGATACAGTCAACTCCAAGATAACAATAATAGCTGGCATCGTTGTTGGGCGCTTGCTGTGTTTAAGGCTCCCTACACCCATTGCCTCGTTTGATCCTCACAACCCTCTGAGTTAGGTGTTGGTGGTATCTCCATTCTACAGAAGGGGATTATAAGGCCTACTAGATAAGTAGAAAAATAAAATAGCTAATAAGTAGATAAGATATAAGTAGAAAGATAAAGTAACCACCTGTCCACGTCACATAGCTAGTGAGTTAGAGTCAGAATTTGAACCCAGGCAGTCTAGTTCCAGAGCCCGTATTCTGAACCACAGTTATGATGCTAATTCCATGCATGATTTGAGCAAGCATCAGAGAAAGCTCTAGTTTAAGAGTCTTTGTTATTCAAATAGTAAGGCAACCAGAAAGATAGAAAGGGCACTGCTTCAGAGACCTTCATCTGGTCCTGACTCTACTGCTTAACTAATTGTGTGACTCTTCCCTTAATGTAAATAATATATATGTTGCCATTTCATGGACCAGTCATGGGAATCAGCTGATAGAACATGTTAAGCATCTTAGAAATGAAAAGATTCAATATTTATACAAAATTTATTTAGAATCTGTATCCTGAATATCTTCAAATAAATCCTAAAATATTTTACAGTTTAAAATATACAATAAAGATATTATTGTCAAATGGGGAGGGGGGAGTGTTGTAAGGAAGGGCAGATGAAGCAATTATACCAAAAATTTAGGGGAGACTTTCCATAACTATAATCTGTAAAATGCAATTTGTGTATAAAATTATTTCTGTGATTACATACATTTGGGAAAGACTGGCATAAACAAAGTTTATATACTGTAGACCTTTTTGGAACCTTTATTGCTCATCTGCATGGTAAGTCTCCAAGAGGCAGCTTGAAGATGCCGTTTTTCCCAAACTCATTTGGCCACAGAATGCTTTTTTAATGGAATATTTGCTAACTTGGGACCATATAATGATTTGATAAATATTTGTCTAAACTTAAAATCCCTCCCTAGATCATAATGACAAGAACTATAATAAGAAAGTCTTTCTAGAACTTTATGTATACAAATCACTTCACATCCACTGTCTGGCTTGATAGTTTAGGAAATGCTTTTCTAAGCTAACAAAATTACTAGAATGAAAATTTAATTTAGTATTCAGAGCTTCCTGGCAGTCAAGGCAAAAAAAGGAATCAGGTATGTCTGATAGTTTTCAAGAAGGTAGCTCAAGCCGAGTGCCTTGGGGGAACAGGAGAGGTGACATAGTCTTAAGCTCCTGAAGTGCTTAAATAAATCATGACTCCTCCATTATAGGAGGCCCTGCTAGCTGGAGCAAGGAGGGAGACTCCCTGGTCCTCAAAGGATGGAAAGAGTTTGGAAACAGAGAGGTTGGGAGAGAGCGTAATAGTGCCCCAGGAAGCCATGAACAGAAAAGTAACTGAAAACTATTCACAGCTATGAGCTGAAGAGTAAGAATATGGGCCCATCTTAAATTCTCTCTGGGGTAAGGAGAGGCTGCAATAATAAATAAGTCTCCCCCAAAACTCTCTCAAGCCCACAGTTTCAAAGGCTGGGCTAAGACTTGTCATGGAAGAGTAAAGCTAGAAGGGCCTTTAGTGATCCTCTGATCTGAGCCACCCATTTTACAGATGGGGAAACTGAGGCTCTATTGGACAGGAAACCTAGGACTGACTTGCTCCCCTGCCCCCAGGAAATGATGTACATTTGGAATGGCTACGCGGTGATTGGGAAGCAGCCGGAACTCACAGATGGAATACTTGAGATTATCATCAAGGCTGAAGAGATGCTGGAAAAGGGCCCAGGTGACTATCCCTAGGCCCTTGAGCTTGCCGGGCTGGGTCAGATCACAGGTTTTTACAGATGAAGTTTCCCTCTACCAAAAACATCCTTCCTCGCTTCTCTACACTGGTAACTGTCCTTTGCCTTTCTAGACCGAACTTCAGTGGCAGCTCCTCCAAGAAGCTGTCCCTTGACCCCAGGTAGAGTCAAGGCCTCTCTGGGGCTCCCACAACCCCTGGGCTTCCTTCAGTCAGTCCCAATTTCACTGTATTGTCATCGTCTCAGTATCTGTCACTCCTTCCCAGATGTGAGCTCCCTGAAGACAGGGACCTTGTGTGAGTCAACTCTGTGTCCCAGGGCCCAGCACAGAGTAGGGGCTCCATGAGTAACTACTGAAGAAGTGAACAAGCATGTCTTCTTCCCTTACTCCCCTATTCTCAGAGAATGAGTACTCAGTGGATGATGAGTGCTTGGTGAAGTTGCTGAAAGGCCTCTGTTTGAAATACCTGGGCCGTGTCCAGGAGGCTGAGGAGAATTTCAGGAGCATCTCTGCCAAGTAAGTGCCTCTGTGGCTGCTCCCACTCCAGATAGCCTACTGCTGGGCCCAGGGCTCCAGGGTAGAATTTTCAGGGTTTCTCTCTCCTCACGCACACTCTAGTGCCTGACCCTAGCCTACCCCTAGCCTACCCCTAACTTTCTCCACATGTACTAGTGTCTACTCTGTGCCAGGACCCTTACTGGGCACAGATCTTATTCAGACTTTGTCCTCCAGGGCCACCACATTGCCCAGCTACAGGAGCCCATCCACACTGAGTTTTGTGTGAATGGTGCCCTGGAATTTGTAATTCAGCAACTCTGCCCTTAGGGGAGTGCAGATATTACAAAGAGACAGCTACAAGCAACTCTATCTGGTAAGATCAGGGCTCTGCTAGAGCAAAGCCTAGAGGGCAGCAGGTGCCCCAAGGAGGGACCTAAATCTAAAGCGAGCTACTAGGAAAGGCTTTCCAGGGATGTCAGTTAGATTGGAAAGTTTAACAGGCAGAAAAAACAAGGGAGAAGGAATTTTAAGTGGAGGAGATACATGTACAAATGCGTAGACACAGGAAAGACACCTGAGGTTGGGTGACGGTGATTAGGTAACCTTCCCTACCTGGGTGAAGTTGTAGAGGGAAAGGGTTGCAGATTAAATAAGGGGTGGGGGGGCTAGACTTGAGAAGAGCCTGGATGTTCTGCTTACAAATCTGAACTTTATCCTGTAGACAGGAGAGCCGGGAAGGATACCACCAGGGCAGATTTGGGTTTTAAAAGGTTATCTCCTAGGTAGCACGGAGGGTGGATCAGAGGGGCGAGATCAGAGACAGGAGACTACTCAATTTAATAAACCTGGAAAAGGGGGCTTGGGGACTGAGGTGGGAGAAGGATAAAGACATGACATGAGCTATAGGTTCTCTGGGAGTTGGGGCCCCAGGGGCAGAAAATTGGAAGGCTCTGCTGTGGATCTTAAGCCTTTTTAGGGCTAGGTAGTGGGAACCTTCCCAAATTGGAATTCAGATGAGGAAACCTCATATGAGGCCACGGGTGTGATCCTCTCATTCAGGGGAGGCTCTGGAGGATTCTGAAGGACATGTCTGAAGGCTGTCTCAAGAGCAGAGCCTGTAAGCCATGTTCTCTGTCCTGCAGCGAAAAGAAGATTAAATATGACCACTACTTGATCCCAAATGCCCTACTAGAGCTGGCCCTGCTGTTTATGGAGCAAGGCAGAAATGAAGAGGCTGTCAAACTCTTGGAAACTGCCAAGTAAGTCTTGATTAGCCTTGGTCTGTCTTTTGTTCCTCATGAGCTGAGAAGCTTCACCCTGGCTGGGGGCAGAGGAGGCCAGACAGCAGTGAGGGGAGGGTGCTGGCAAGGGCAGTGTGGCAGTCCAGCGGCTAGGCTCATGTTCCTGAATCTCAGCTCTCACATGGCATAGAGAGGCTTCTTCCTCAATTTATCAATGAAGAATTGAAATCCTAGAAGCGGGGAGTGAGTTACCCAGGGTCACACCACAAGCCAGCTGCAGGAATGCTGTGAGGACCCAGGGCTCCTGCCTTCTAGCCCATGGGTCTACCTCTTGAAACCACTCCCTCAAGCTTGGGGACCCAACAGGACCAAAAGAGGTTCCACAGGCCATGAAACCAAGTGATCCCTATTAGGCTGGGTCCGACTCTTTCTACAGAGAAGGGATTTAAGCCTCTAAAAACCCTCCTAGCTAGCAGGCTCCCACAGTTCAGACTAAAGGAAAAAGCACTTCCTGGAGCAGCCTTGTGTGTCTGATTCTTTGGTCTCTTCTAGGCAAAACTATAAGAATTATTCCATGGAGTCAAGGACACACTTTCGAATCCAGGCAGCCACACTCCAAGCCAAGTCTTCCCTAGAGAATGGCAACAGATCCATGGTCCCATCAGTGTCCTTGTAGTTTTGTGCAGCACTCCCAGGCTGGAAGACAGAGTCATCTGGACAGATCTCCTGGAAACATTTCAAAAAGGTCCCCTCACCCTGCCCTGCCTTTGGGGTCCACCGGTGCTCCAGTGGGATGGCATGACATAGGTCTCTGTGCAGAAGTGAAGCTGGCATTTTCACCAGTGTGGCCAAGGGCCTTTGCCAAGGACAGAGCAGGTAGAACCCTCTGCCTGCCCTATCACATATACGGGTACTTGTTTTTCACTGTGATGTTTAAGAGAATGTATGAACAGTTTACATTTTTCCTAAGAAATACATTGATGGGATCAAAGTTGGCTTAAAAAAAAAAGAAAGAAAGAAAACCACCAACCAACCACCTGTAAATCATTGTTTTAACCCATACTGATGAGGTAAATCTGTATGATGCCACAGGCCAAAGTGCTTTTCAGACTTCAGCGAGGTCTCAGCTTCTAGGGCTGGAAGGACCCTCAGGAGGGTGTGCATCTCAGGCTTCAAGGCTTCTGGGGGTTGGACATAGAGGTTTTCACACAGACTCCTACCACTCTACTTCTGAACACTTCATTTTTACTGCCTTTGTAAGTTTCCAATTTAAAAAAAACCAAGCATGTCTTTTTAGTTGAGATAATTTTGAGTTCATCTGTAGGAAGAAAAAAATCAATTATTTCCACCAGTAAGAAATGGCGATGCCGAGGCCTGACTGAAGGGGATCTGTGTGGCACTTTCTGTGCCAAAGCCAAAAAATTTGGCAGGCAGTTTCTCAGACGCTAGTCTGACTCCTTGCTATATGCCAAACTGAAACCACTGGGAATAATTTATGAAACATAAAAATCTTCTGTACTTCACTTCAAGGTACATTTATTTACTGACAGCATTTTTCTTAGAAACAGAATGGTTACTCTTGGCCTGTTGTGTATGTTTTAGATTTTTCAGTTAAGAGAAAAGAGGTATTTAAGTAATAAAACATACACTTAAGAGATCATGCAACATCTATTTCAGTAAAATATGTGTTGCTTGAATTCTTAGGCAGGGCAGAAAGTTTGGATCAGAAGACATATGGCCCAGGCATGTTTTATTTAGACAAGATAATGTTTAAAGAATTTTAGAGTAAGTTACTAACACTTAAAAATGGAGAGATTTCACAAATAAATCTGGCTTCTGGTCTTTTTTTTTTTTAATTTTCTGTCAACATTGGACCTCACTCCCACAGGGCAACAATTAGTTGGAGCTGAATAGATGCTATTTTCAAAAGTTATATTACCTTTCTGGCCCCTAGAAGCATCTGAATTTGCAACCTCTTGGACTGTTAAATTGAGGACTCAAGGTTCAGTCAGTGACTAACACCAGGTTTACCATTCACAATCTAACAACTGCATACTTCAACTTAACCATTTCCCTGGAGGAAAAAATCATGTATACAGTAAATATTCATCTGTGAAAATGGGACTCCTCAAACACATGAATGTAGTTTCTGTAAGGGAAGAACCACAGACAACTTTTCCAGTCTTCCAGCCTGCTGTATTTAGCAAACACTTTTGAACATCTGCCAGGGCCTGGGTGGGTTAATCTATTAATATACAACCAGCCTCCTGTGGCTGATACTGAATGAAGTCATAGGTTTTAGGTAAAGCATATTCTCATTAGGAAAACAAAACAGAAAACACTCATCCAGGATCTTCTTTTGCACTTAGTACTGTCAGAGCAGAAATGCTATGAAAAGAAGGAGTTCTCATTTTGTTAGAACTAGATAAAAGAATGCGTTCCACGGAGGGCAAGTCCTTTATAAGCCCTCTCTCCAAAGCCTGGATGCTGGAAGCCCAGCCTATTTCCAGGTTGTTGGGCAGGGTGAAAGGGGTGATTAGAGCCAGGCTGCTGAATGAGGGTGGTCTGCTGTGGCTCCCTCACATATCAGAATGCTACCTACTGCTGTATAAAAGCATGGGTCACAGCATACCAAACATATAATTTGCAAAATTGCCATTTACAAAAAACTTTCATCTCAGTGTTCATTTTCGGTGCTTTTATTTTTAAATTTTCATGCCAGGATAGTTTCATTGTTGTTACTACTTCCTGCTGAGCTTCACTAATTAGACTGTCACCTTTACCTCAGTCTGCTGCCCTGGCTGCAGTCTGGCTGATAAGAGAAATCTGTAGGTTCTATCTCCTTTACCCTACCTGCAGCTTGAGATAGCCTATCAAAAACATGTATGTAGAGGAAGGTGAAAACGTTGGGTGTCTGACACCACCATATCCTTGTGCAGAGGCCTCTGAAGGTGAAAATTCTGTTATGGGCTTCTTCTTGTGCCTTGAGCCATTTCTGGTCATTGCTGCTTTAACAGTGCAGACTTTTCCAGCACATCTGCCCTGCAGAGGCAGCCAATCGGGTGGAGAGTTTTGGCCTAGAAATAAGGAGGCCTGAATTCTAGTCCCTGCTTTGCTACTGATTTTCAGAGTGACCGCGAAAGTCATGGATCCTCTGAAGATTAGTACTTTGGACTAGATTAAAGCTCTTTCCTGCTGTCAGCAGTTCTGATTCTAACCCTGGTCAAATCTGTTTCTGGGCTTTCATCCCCAAAAGGATGCAACAGATATATACCTCCCTACCTTTTGCCAAAGCCTCGTGTCCCCAAGCAGCATAACCAGAAGTGATAGGCTTCCTCAATCAGGGGCCCAGGAAACCCAGAGAGCAAATAATCCTCATTTAGGGCAAGTGTGAATCCTATGCGCCCAAAGGAACTCAGTTGATAGGAAGCAGCAACTATTTAACATGATCTGAACAGGACCTTGGCAACAGAAAGTCTACCTACACTTTTCACTGGTCCCAGGCCTTGGACTCAGTAGGGTGGCTTCCAGCAGTATGCCAGTCCCTATCAGCTCTCCCATGTATTGGCAGGATTCCCTATTCCTTATCTCTCAAGTCAGAATGGGAGTGTTTCCAAGACAGCTATCGTCATTCACAGCAAAAAGCCACGACCTGACAGCAAAGCCAGGACCCTAAAAGGCCAACACCAACCAAACATTTGGCTGAGGTCCAGGTGAAAGATTCTCAGCTACTGAAGAACAGCACTAGGAGGATTTCAGAAAGCCCCAGCCTGCAGACTGCTTGAATCATTCAATAGGGAAAAAAACCCAAAGATACTCTCTGGAGTTGCTCCCAAGTTTATTTCCTCTAAGATGATGGGGAGTGGACAACAATCTTGTTCACTTCAAATTTAATGCCCAGCAGTGTGCCTTTTCAACAGTTTTCTTTGGTCTTTAGCACCATCACACATATTCAGTAATAAATGAAAGGTGCCTGAATTCCAAAAACCAAGCAGCAAATGGGAACTTCTCATCCCCGCCCTTAGATGCTGCTTTCCAAGGCTGGAGAGTGCCTTTCTGCTTGGGTTAGCACAGCACTGTGGAAATCTGGTGCAAAGTTCATTACTGCCCAACAGGGTAAGTCTATAAACAAGGAGCCTCATTTAGGGGCTTGAAAAATCCATTTCTAAGTGAGCACTCTGAGTTACTTCTACTGTATAATAAAGCCCTTACTTGGGGAAGACATACAATTACAGAAGATTACTATGGACTTCTAAAAGTTGACATTCAAGTTTAATCAGATACATAGTATCTCACAAATAACTGGATTGGATGGTTTTGTTTTTCTTCACATCATTAAGACTTTACAACACCAGACACCAAATGCTCTGGGTAGAATACTAGCTAATAAGTGCTGACTACTTAACAGTGCCTTGCATGTATCTAATCCTCATAACCACCCTATTAAGTAGGGCTATTACTGCCATTTTACAGATGAGAAAATTGAGACACAGGTTAAATAAATAACTTGCTTAAGATCACACAGTGATTATGCAGCAGGAAGATATGAAACCAGGCAGCAGAACTCTAAAGCCCATGCTTCGCTCAACTGACAGTCAAGCTTTAAAATGATCGATTTAAAGTCAGCTCCGACTTGTATTGACTCTTGGACCACTGTTAAGGATGGAAAAGGTACTGGCTAATAACTCCAACACTAGAAATCCTTCGCTTGAAGCACATGTCTATGTAGCATGGTTCCCCTGTTGCACCTGGTATCATGAGGATAGGGTCCAACTTGGACAAAGCCAAAAGAAAAAAGGTAATCCTTAAGCAACAGTATTTGCTCATAAAATCATTGGGATGTTGGAGGAAAAGATATTATCTAGTATCCAGTTAGAGAAGTAGGGCTCCATCAGCTACTCCAGAGATGGGAAGTGAAGCCTGAACAGATGTAGGAGCGCAGGCCTGCACTGAGAGGCTTGAGGCATTTTTGAAAGCACAAAAAGCAAGTCTCCGAGGCTAACAAGTTGAGTACTAATAAAAGGAAAGAGGCAGAAAGCCTATCTCCAGTAAAGAGTTTGGATTTTATTCCCTGCACAAGGGGAAGCAATTAAAGTTCTAAGGAGGGGGATGATACCATCCAATTTACTCAAAATTATTTTATAGGTTGTGTGAAGACTGTTTTATATAGGGTTAAGCATGGAAGCTGGGAGGCCAGTGCCATGCATGCCAAAAGCGAAAAGCAGTAATTGCTTCTGCTTTGTGAGCTGATAAAAATACCTCATCTTCCCTTGACCAGATTTAGGGAGGAAAGTATTTCAAAAAGCTAAGTGATAATAATAATCAGCCTCAAAGAGTCAATATGAGTTGGAATTTCACATTTTTTACCCTCACGAGAAATCAGAAATCCAGTTTATCAAAATCCATACCCGTAAACAATACTTGTAGTAAAGACCAACATGAAAATGCCCCATTAGCACCTGTCTCACTACTAAAAAGAATGGTTATTCTTCTTCCTCATATTAAAACAACAGTGATTATTAAGGGCCATGAGGATAAGTGGTTTGTGAAAAACAACTTCCCGTCCTATACCCTGTAGCTATTAACTGTCTGTGGGCTAAGTTCAGCTACCCTCATGGAGAGAGGATCATTATTTTGCACTACTTCAAAGCTGAAGAACTAGCTCTGATTCTGGAATTGGTAGAAGTTATTCCCAAACCTTGGGTATGGACAATGCTGGAAGTCAACCTCATTGTCTTTCTGATAGCATAGTCCAGGCTTCCCCATTCACACAATGCTTAAGACTTGCTTTTGGATCCTAAATGACTAGATTAACTACAATGTGGCCCCCCCGAGAAAAGCTGGGCCCCTCACTCGCTAAGACAACCAAACTGTCCCATAAGCATTCAGAGTTCACCATTATAACCAGATACTTGAGGTAAAAACCCTCAGTTACTTTTTTCAATTTCCTTTTCTCAGCACCAAAAAAATCTGGTCCATAAGCACTGATATTATAGGTGTTCAAAGCAAATAGGTGCTGGTCATCTTTTGATCACAATCAGTTTTAGATGCCTAAAATCTGTACCTTATTGATACTGCTGCTTCATTCATATGCAGAGAAAAACAAACTTCTGGTGGAAAGCATCCAAAGATGAATAAATCTTCCGGTGGACAGGGCCTTTTCTCAAGAAACTAAAATGTAAAAGAAAGTATCTCTTAAAGTGTCCTTTAAAAAAAGATAATGATACTCAACGCAACCATGGAAATTTTGTAGTTGAACATTTTTACTCTATACTTTTTAATTTAATGATGGCAAAATACTTAAGAAACAGGAACCAGGGGGAAGAAACAGAAGGAATTCAGCTGTGCCCCCTAAAGGAATAATATAATTCAGTCAGGAGAAGGCTGCATAGGACTCTGATGGCCCTCATACCCATGCCTCACATGATGGGGACATCCTGAACCAGGCCTGTGTCCTAGGGAAGTCTCACTGAGTTTAAGACTAGAGCAGGGAGGCTACATAAGGTACAGAAGGAGGGGTTGAGGGGTTACAAATCTTCTACCCAGGAAGAGTAGTTGATCTTTAAATTCAGGTGAGTAAATTTAATATTCAGGAGATATTAACCAAAACTCCAACTTTTCTCATGTCCACCAATTTCAAAGGCTTAAAAAATTAGTTGGGGTTATTACATTAGCTATGATGCACTTACATGCAAGTGTCATCAGTTGACTCTCAGAAACTGACTGCTAGCCAATGTCTTTGTAATAAACAAACACGACCACCAACTGCCTGCATTTCTGAATTATGCCAAAGAAACTTACCTTCTTTCCTATTTGCCGTTTTCAGTCTCAGGACCATAGGCAGCTGGACTTTTGACTCGTTTATTGTTATTCCTTTTTAACAACGCATGCTTCCTTAAGAAGGAGCTTTGTACACAGAGAATTTGTTACCTTGATGCTCACAGTACTTTGTTTTATATCACACAGACATTGAAAGTAGTGGGAGAGTCTTCTAATACCTGGTTTAAGAGATGCCCTATAAAGAAAACTCATTTTTAAATTTTTAAAGTTTGTGTTGACCAAACTACAACTATCTGAAAGTATTTCAACTTGTTGGGTTTACATTTAAGTGAGTAAAATTCTATTATTTTTTCCTTAGTCAGGCTTTTCAGATATTTCAAACCAGATATTACTGCCAAGACCAAACACATCGAAATATGTTGTGCCTATTACTTGGCTTTGGAAAATCTGAAGCTATCAAACTTCTAAATTTATGATTAGATGGTATTAAATGCCAAGCCACAAAAAATACTTCCCCAAAAGTATAAATAGCTAGAAATTTTAAAGGAATTAATTAAATTTATACACATGTGTTTTAAAGAAAGAATTAGATAAGTTGGGGAATATTCTTATGTAATCAACTCTAACTTTAGTCCTTTACAACTGTATTATAACTTTATTTAATTCAGTAAAAGTCAAAAATTGATGGTTCTTAATATAGTATGTGGAGATCAAAATGACAGAATACAAAGTACCTTAAAAAAAGAAAAGGCATTCAGCTCAATCCTGGTTCCTTCAATATTACTGCCAAACTTCTATAAAAGAAGGCTTGTAATAAAGAAAGACTAACAGAAACATAGAAGATGATTTAGGAAAAAAATTTCATTTACCAATTTTAACAATCTAGAAAAAAAGAAAGTCTGACTATAATACTGGCTGACAGACATCATGTTTAAGTAGAAAACACAAAGATAAAAAAAGTAGTATCGCTGAAAATATTGCACAACTTCAGGTGTTTCCTCCAAATTTGCTTTATGTAATTGGGTGGATATAAATTAATGAACAAAAACTTGAGCAAGATACATGTAACAATTTAACAGAACCTGATAATCTAATTTTTTCAATTTCTCAAACTCATCATGGGGCTCATAAGAAAATTAACCAACCTGGATACTACTACAGTTGAACATCAAATCTTTAAGAAGTGCTTATGACATACTAAATTCCTCTATAATGCAATTATGAAGAACCCTTCAAGAGTTTTTGTGTTTTGTATGTAGAAAAGTGTTAGAGTCAAATTTTCAACACAATATAAAATAATAAGAAACTTTTCTGATTTGTTAGGTTGAGATTGCATCTCCTTTAGCTAATAAATGATTTCTTAAGCTGTAATATCACTGAGCTAAACAAATGTCACCTTGGAGTACATAAAGAAAAATAAACACATGCTAAATGGATAAAACATTACAACTACATCTTTACTAGACCATCTCTACCTCTAACACTTCAGAAGCTTAGAGATTCAGAGTGTTCTTACATGAACTGCAAGAAAAAGACAAAGGAGAAATTCTTTTTTGAGATCACAACTATGAAGTCATGTGGTTATACAAATTTTGCATTTGTGTGCAAAACATGAAACACATTTATCTTAATTCTCCCTGCTTAAAACTGTCAGTCAGCTAGCAGGACTTTCCTTCCAAGAAACAGAGACTGAGATGTGTTTTATATAACTTCAATAACCTCAGCACTACAGTAAGAGATGCAGTATCCTTTTGCTATGGTTCAAGACAACAGAGAAGGAGGTCACAGGAAAGAATAAATCAAAACTATTACAACTGAGAAACTTTTCTCAGTTTCACCATGGTGCCACTTTCATTTTACATAAAGCATGGTGGCATAATTCAAGCTCAAAAAATCAGAAATCTTAATATTTAAAATTTACCTTGACTTTTAATTATCACCATATTAACAACCAAAATAATTAGATAAAATACATAGGAAAGGGTAATATTAAACCCCACTTTACTAGAGTTGGTTTCTTGAGACTAACTCATTTTTATAGAAAAGGGATAGTGCATCTCAGTTTGCTTACAAGCTAGGAGATCACTTTGAATTCTGCATTTCCTAACTGCAAACAGATATAGCACTTATAACAGGTTATAAATAAACTGGTTTTCAAGCATAGAGCCAGCCCCAACGATAATAATACACTATTTAAAAAGACCTAAGGCAATGAATTCCATTTCCAATGGAAAAAAAGAACTGTGCAAACAAGCTTAAAACTACTTTTTTGTGCCAGTGTTATAAAATGTAGCTTTTAATAAAACCTTGACCCAAATGCCAGCAACTTCAGAAAAGAATTTGGGTTGGGGGAAGAAGAAAGTTATTTCATTTAGGAGAAACAACCACTACCTTTTTCCTAATCTTCAATACGCACAATTTAAACATATACAGCTGCTGTAACACTTTACACAATTCCTATGCACTGGAGCAATAACATGATCTAAATACAATTATATTTTAAACACTGGGTCAAGGCTTTACATAAAAATACCATTCTACTTTCCCCCTAAGTTTCTAAAATATCACGTACTTTCCCCCAACATCTGCAGCCATTCAGGAATTTTTAGGAAACTTTTGTGCATGATCTTAATTCCTAATCCCTGGCTCTTTGGGCTCAGTGACAAAAGATCAAAACCACCAAAAATGATGGTTCACTTGAAGTCAGATAAGAGACCCTGGCTCAATTAGTCTCATAGGACGAAAGCAGTGCTGCATCAACTGGCTCCATGCAGGAGGGGCACGTGAAGGATCTCATCAACCAGTCATCTATACAGTCCAGGTGATAGATGTGCATGCACGGCAGAAATCGAATTGGGTCCCCATAAACAAAGTCCATCATACAGATCACACACCTGTTGAGAGTGAGGGAGAGAAATCAGAAAGCATTTTTAGAGAAGTCAGCTACCTCGAATACTTAAAATCCCTATTACAAAGACAGTGTCAATATGAACGGATGGAAATGGCTTGCCTGTCATCCTACCACCTAAGGATGCAGACTGAATTCTTTCCCAGTAAGTGTTAATCCATCCAAAATCTCTCATTTCAAACACCTGGGAATTTGAAAACTTTCCGAGCATTCAACAGGGCAAAGAAAAAGGGACCACGTGGTGATAAAGTCCATTGCTAGAACTGTGCCTGTAGAATAGCTACATGTTATAGTGGGCAATTGAAGGAAATCATCAGATTAATTTTGTTTACTTGAACTGAATTTTTAGTGTGAGCCCAGAAATAAGACGGTTTTCACTTTAATAACTACATGTTAAAACAGAGCTACTAATTTCAGCCTACTTCATAGGCTGCTGTAGGCTAAAGGTCTCTTCATTAACTCCAGTTTCAAATTCACTGCTCTCTCCTACAGGCTCAAGAAGCAACCCAATTCTGCAGTGTTCCAGAAGTCAATATTCTACATAGGTTATGATCTTAAGTACTAACATTAAATGGTGCTATGGCTCAAACAACTAAACAATGATATAGTAAATCAGATTATGCCTGTGTTGGTAAAGGCCATTCTCAACCTAAAAGGAGAATGGTTCTCTCCTCATTAGGGATTCTCATGCAATAAATGAACGCTGAAGACAAAAACTAAGAAACGGATATATATTTTCCTCGTATCACTAAAACCTTTAGCAACAATTTTAATAGCTGCATAACCTACCAAAGTATTCTTGTATTTTAATTTACTTAACTCTTCCTCTATTATTGTTTTTCACTATATAAAACTATGGTGAATATCTTTGTGCATAAAGCTCGAAGGGTTGGAGTGGGGTACATATTTTGCAATTGATCCTAAGAATTAACTGTTTCAAAGGGTTTAGATCTAAAGATCCTTGACACTAGGTACTAGTTCATACTTAAACAGGTGAATCATTTTTAATGACATTAACTATCATCCAAGTGGACATAGGCAAGATATAAAATGATCAGAATTCACACCATCATTTATTTGTTAGCTATTTTTATATGAAAAATTTCCTCAATTGCTCCATCTGAACATTTTCTTGCATGAATAATTAAATATCTAACTTCCAAAATGCAGAAAAATATTTTTCAAAAACAAATCTCTGAAGATAGACTTTTGAAATGTGTGTAAATTAACTGAAACTTACTCCCGGATCTTTTTTTCTGATCCATCTCTTCCAGGGTCATAAACTCCTTTAGGCAGATGCTGTATAAGGCCTATTCTTTGAGCTATCCTAATTTGTTCCTCTTCAGTCAGCTGAGTTGCTAGGCGAGTCTGGCTAGGTGTTGGATGATAGACCGGAACTGGAACTTGTTCCTAAATTTTAAAAAATGGAGAAAAGAATTATTTTTAAAAAATCTGTTTTCTGGGGTTATGTTTTCCTCTGTTTCTTCCTTTATTGGCTAGGGGAGGGGGCCTTAGGGAGAGGCAGATTGGGCAAGTGTGCAACAGCATGAGATTGTTTTACCTTACCTAAATTTTAGCATATCTGACTTATCTTTAAAGGATATAAACTTTACTGAAAACTGGCATGGAATATTACCTGAAGTATTTCTACAGGAAAACCATATAACCCAGATATATTCACTGCTGACACACAAATAGATAAACGAATGTAACTAATTAATTAACCAGACTTCATTCACTGTTCTGTAGGTCTCAATGGAGTTCTGTGGCCTCAGTATATCATTATTTACATTAGAACTGGCCATTACAGATTCTTCTCATTTGCAAACTTTTCTTTTATGTAGATGACAACTTTAAACTTAATTTATTATTTATTTGGAAAGATTGGACATTGCTGCAATAAACTTCCGTACAATTTCTTTTAGGCTTTTGGATACATATTTGGACATGATAACGGACTGAGCCAAACAGAGGCCACCTTCCTTCTAAATGGAATACATAAGCTTTTAGGAATATAAATTAAATAGCCAGATATCTACTCATAACATTTACTTACTTGTATATATTACTATATAAAATAAAGCAATTTAGACTCTTGACCTCTGAATAATGTAGAAGTTATGGGTGCTGACCCCCACAATGGAAAACCCACCTATTACTACAATTAGCCCTCTGTATTCCCAGTTCCACATTTGAAGATTTAACCAACCATGGTTCATATAGCACTGTAGTACATATTTGTTGAAAAAGTCTGTATGAGTGGACCCAGGCAGTTCAAACCCATGTTATTCAAGGGTCAATTGTATTGCTTTTTTTTTCCTACTCACATCTATGAAATAATTTTATTCACACTCTTTATACATTCTTTCACCAGATACTTGAATATCTATTATGTGCCAGCTGATGGGGAGTGAAGAGTAAACAAAACAAAGTTCCTACAGTGATGAAGGATGTTGCTTAGATAAGATACTAAGAGAAAAACCTCTTTGATGAGACATCTGAGAAGAGATCTCAGTGAAGTATGATAGCGCATCTCTGACCTAATGGTTTCTTGTGGCTAGATCCATTTTTGAGCCACCTAATACAGTGTTTCAGAGCTCTACTGAATAAACTGAGCCATTAACACCTTCAATCCATGTATGAAGTTTTCATGGGAAATCTTATTTAAAGCCACAACTACCTATTAACATTACATTAGAAAATGCTATTTCCATTCATCCTGTAGGATCACTCATGATCTCTACAATTAAAGCACTTGCTTACGACGACAGCCAACATTTGCAATTATGAGATCATGTCTCCAGGAATAATTGCCAAAGTTGTGTTAAGCTTTAAAAATTATTTTGTGAAATAACCTCCATTAACATTGAGAACTAGCATCAACTGAGGCTGTTCTGAGCCAATAGCTTCTGTGGCTCAAAATAAAATAGCACCCAGAGTGACAGACTTTATATGGGCTCAAGTACAAATATCCTTTTCAAAGAGAAATTTTAGGAGAAAGTCTCAAATACATATAAATAAGGCTCAAATACTGAAATATTTAATTCAAGGAGAAAGACACTTCACTACAATGTCTGTTTAAAAGATATCATTATGTTTTTTTAAATTAGTCTTATTCTTATAAACCCCTTTTCTGACAGTAGTTACTGAGTTTCTTGTCAAAGGCAATTCAACAACTTTAAATATTCCTTTTCTCTGAGATTCAGAACAAATCTATAATTAAAAATCTCAAAACCCAGTAAATCCTTTATCAAATAATTAAGATTTATATTCTCTGGTACAAGTAAAATGCCAGTTGTTCAAAGTTTCATGTTTTATGAATTTCCACATTAAATCATTAATGGTTACTTTCATATGTCTAGTTCATCATTTAGGAAATAATAACCAAGTATGTGAATGCTTATCAGAACTGTATTCTTCATCCAAATTTATTTATTTAGTTCATATTACATGCAAAGGAGACATCATTTTATTAGTAAGTATGGTTAGTACATCCAGCTAACCTTAGGGTTAAGTTACTTTTCTGTCACTTAACAGAGTGACCGTATTGAAGTGATGTGATTTATCTGGATTACCCTGTATTATAAAACTGCTATAAGACTTAAATGAGGAAGATGGTGAACCTTGGAATGGTAGAAACTCAATAAATGGTAGCTATTATAACTATTAATGTTACATTTAAAGAGCTATATCTATTATTGCAGCCCAATTAGCTGTTTCCTCTAAGTTTCATGTTTGCCCATCTTACTGCCTTTATTCTTGATATTTCCTCTACTTCTCCCGGCAGGTCCACTGTTCCAAATTATACCTTGTCTAGCGAGTTACTAGTGTAAATGAAGCTTTCCCCAATCCTCCTTCCTGCCACCCAATATTGAGAGACTCTGCCCTCTTCATCTTAATTACATAGGTGTATACCTATTAGAAAATTAGGAAGATTATACAGAATACAGTGAAACTTCAGTTAACAAGTGCAGTCATCAAGACTCAATTCTTCTGGCTTTCACAGAGCAAAGGAAGCACAAAACTGACTTCATTTCTCTAGCACAGCTTGAAAGCTTTCTTTCAGCCCTGTATATCTGCAGCACTGTGCCCATAGGCATTTTTTTTTTTTTGCTTTATAAAGTTTTTTTGTAACGAGTATTTCCTTTTAAACAAGTTTGTATAGGTACAAAAATTTTCAGTTTGTAGGTCAAACTCAGAGAATCTTCTATAAGTAACATGTATATTATCAAAGCCCTATTTTATGCACTAAAAAAAAATAACTTTGTTAACCAGGCTTTATAGTGCACATAAAAGTTACATGACCTTTCAGTTACTAACGATCATAAACATGGCTACTGCATCTCTGGTTTAGATACTCACCTCTTCCAGGTTTTATACCTAGTGGGCAAACTTTCAATGCAGAAAAATTTCATAGTTGAGAGTCAAAAAGACTGTCCTTGCTCTGCCACTTAGTAATCATAAGACTTTGACCAAGTTATTTAACTTCTATGCACTTCAGACCTTTTATTCATACTAGGGATGTATTTTTTTTTTTTGGTAGTTGTTAAATCAAGGGAACAGTCTAAGTATCATTTAGATATTTAAAATGATTCATCATTCTAATTTCAGTTTACATGCAACTTTTCAGAAAACCTCTATAGGGAAGGAAATGACTAAGAACTCCTGATATTTTAAAGATGGATGTGGCCTCACCCTTCTTACCACACACACACTCAATTTTAATTCCCATCATACTTGTTAACAGTGACCTAAAGTGGGGAGGTTGTAGCTCAGTGGTGGAGTGCTTGCCTAGCATGCATGAGGTACTGGGTTCAATCCCCAGTACTCCATTAAAAAATAAATAAACCTAATTACCACCACCCCCCAAAAAATTTTTTAAATGACCTGAAGTTGGAGTTATTGTTTAGTAACTAGAGATCCAACGTAATTCTAGGTGGCAAAAAATGGCATCTTGTTTCTCATGTCAGGTAGGAAACAGTGAATGGAAGATTAGACAAGGATATAAAAAATAGCAATTTTTAAAAGATTCGGATTCCAGGACAGTTCAACATTCCCTAACTGATGGCTCCCTGTGCCTAAACTCTTCGTGTGAACAATATGATTCATGCTTTCCCTCTGGGAGTCTGTAATGTATATGCTAAGCAGGGGTGCCTACTCAGTACCTTGGGCTTCCCTAGCAGACAACACTTCACACATGTTGGCATAATTCAATGCTGGAGAATTAAGCACATTCTGTGTGACTCTACTAGGAGAGAACTAACTGTTGGAAGCCTGTGCCTTTTTTCTATGGATCTATGTTTCTTTTTCCTTTACCAATTTTGATCAGTATTATTTTCCAATAATAAATGATAGCTGTGATTACAATTATATGCTAAGACCTGTAAGTCCTCCAATGGACTCAAAGAACATTACAGTCTAGAAAATGTTAAGATGGACAGTGCCTGCACTGACTCCTTTGTTTTCGAATAGTTTATTTGGTGATGTTCATTAGAAATGCTCCCCTGGAAGGTGTGGAGAAAAGGGAATCCTCCTACATTGTTGGTGGGAATGTACATTGGTGTAGCCACTATGGAAAACAGTATGGAGTTTCCTTAAAAAACTAAAAATAGAGTTGTCATATGACCCAGTCACCATATAAGCCTATTCCTGAGTATATATCCGGAGAAAACTAATCTGAAAAGATACCTGCACTCAATGTTCACAGCAGCACTACTTAAAATAGCCAAGACACGGAAGCAACCTAAACATCTGCCCATCAGCAGATGAATGGAGAGATGTGGTATATATACAACGGAATATTACTCAGCCATAAAAAGGATGAAATGATTCCATTTGCAGCAACATGGATGAACCTAGAGATTATCATACTAAATGAAGTAAATGAGACAGAGAAAGACAAATATCACATGATACCACTTATATGTGGAATCTAAAAAAAAATGATACAAATGAATGTATTTACAAAAAAGAAAGAGACTCACAGACAGAAAACAATTTTATGGCTACCAAAGGAGGAAGGGGAAGGAGGGATAAATTAGTTTAGGATTAGATACAAACTACTATACACAAGATAGATAAACAAGGTCCTACTATATAGCTCAGGGGACTATATTCAGTATCTTGTAATAACCTATAATGAAAAAGAATATGAAAAAGAATATATATATATATATATATATATATATATATATATATATCTATATATATCTGAATCACTTAGCTGTACATGAGAAACTAACACAACATTGTAAGTCAACTATACTTCAGTTTTAAAAAAATGTTTCTTTGTAAAAAAAAAAAAAAGGTGTGTTCTGACAATGGCAGTTACACAGTACTTGGGTCTTACTCCTTTTTCAAAATATAAAGGAATATTTTGACCATTTATTATTTAGCATAGAGAAAAACACTTGAGAAAGAGATGTTACTGCTGAACTAATTGCTGTTAGTGCTGAACTATGCCCCCCCAAATTTTATGTTGAAGTCCTAATCCCCCAGAATCTCAGAACATGGCTGTTTTTAGAGTCACAAATGTGACTGTTTCTGTCTTGGTCTTTTCTCCTGCCCTCTACTCTCTGCCAATAGCTATGTCCATGTTGACAGCTAAAACTATTACCTAATATAAATGATTCATAAATCAATGATCCAGTCTAGATCTTGCTTTTAAACTCCAGGCTCTACTTGGACAGTCCTAAATCAAAGTTCCCCCAAAGTACCTCAAATTCAACTTGTCTAAAAATGAACTCACCTCCAAAATCTGATCTTCAACTTCCCTATCTCAGTAAATAACAAGATCACTTTTCTAGTTGTGTGAGACAGAGACCTCTTGGCACCTCTCCCCCTACCTTCCCATATTTAACAACATAACCAAATTCTAATGAACTTATTTTCTACTGAAATGTTGACAGAATCTATTTGTTTCTCTACATGTCTATTGCCAATACTCCAGTCTAAGTTTCAATTTCTTTTTGGTGTATAATATTAGCTAGCAAAATCTCAGTTTGTTCTCTACACAGAAGTGACAGCAATCCTTCCAAAACAAATACAATCTTATGTCCTCCTCAACACACCTTAAAACCAGTTCAGTAGCTTCCCACTGCTTTTACAATGGAGGTCAAAGTCTGTAATAAGACCTCCAAAGCCCTGCATAGTCTGATTACCTCTCTACCTCCCTCTCTACGCACCTTCTTGTTCCTCATGTAACAACTCACTGCTTTCTAGACCCACTGGCCTTTACAGAAGTATGGTCTCTCCCACATGAAGTCGTTAACACTTGCTGTATTCTTTGCTTGAAACACTCTCCTCCATCACTACTCTGCTTAAATACCTCCTTTTTCTTCTTTCAGAGCTCAGTTCAACTTCAACTTTCTCAGAAATCTTCTCTATTATCCTCTATTATAGGCTCTTATACACCAAGTAACTTTCCTTCACAGCATTTGTTATAGTTGTAATTTTATATTTAGTTATAATTTGAATGTTTGTCTTTCCCAGCAGACTGTAAGATCCATGATAAGAACTGTGTCTGTTTTTGCTTCTCACTGAATGGATAAACAGCCTACTAAAAAGGTTACCTACTATTAGCTAAAAATAGTCACTCATTAACTTACTCCACTGTTTCTTTTCATTTCAGTGTTTCTTTACATTTCCTGGAATCCTTAACCAATCACCACTTATTAGAGTTAGTGTACACTATAATACTGGGATTACAGAGTTGTTTTTGCTTTGCTAAGTATATTCATTAAGAATGACTGATAATAATGGTACCTGCCTACACTATTCCCCCTCATAAAAGTGAACCCAAATGATTTCTGAATACTTATGGAAAATACTGTTTATAAAATAATTATTTCTAATGTACAACGGTACTTAGTACAAAAAGGGATACTATGAATCAGTTTATGAAAATCTAAATTACCAAGTACTAAATTGCTAAATGCTGGCACCTTTAAGGGTGGTTCAATTGGCTGCTCTCATCTATGTGTATATGAATATAATTCATGAAGTATTTTGTGCTTGGGCTAAAGAGGTGTGATTATCTGTACGATTATTTGATTAATGTATTCCTTCATCACTAGACTGAAAGCTTGATAAGGGTAGGGATTACGTCGGTTTTGCTCACCAATACATACTATTTCTCTAGCGCAGTATCTTTCACATAGTAGGGACTCAATAAACTTGACTAGATAACTGAATGATTTAAATCAAAGCACTCATGTTTTCGTAATCCATGTCAAATGTTCATATCAGGATTTTGTAAATATGCTACGAGAAATTGCTAATGATTTGGATTAAGCCACAATAAAACCAAAAAAAAAGACCTGATATAAAGTACAACCAACATTCCTTCTCCAAGTAATAATCCAGCTTGTTGCCTCTTTGAAATTTCTACCTACCATTCTACCCCACAGTGACTATATTATGTCCAAAAGCAAACTAATTATCTCTTTATACGTCCACAATCCTTCTCAAACTCAGATCACTAGTCATCCAAGGTAGGTATCTCTTCTTTCCTGATTCCTCTGACCTCTTCCCTTCCCTTTATCCCCATCATCTACTTAAAATATCTTATAATCTTCTCTAACAACCATTTCCTCAATGTTAATAGGAGACATACACGTACTTGCCTTGCAAGTTTAAATTTTGAGAAAGAGACAATTCACAGTAAGAGAAGCAAATATATTTCAAATAAATTTAAATATTTTTTCCTCCTTAATGCTTTCTTTAATTCTCTACAGAAGTCTTCTTGCAAAAACAAAACAAAACCCACACAACAAAAAAACCCCAAGAGAATCCAAGGAAAAGCATCTGCCTTAAAGAAAAGGAATAATTTAAAATTAAAAAATGTGTTAGGAAAAGAAATGCAGCATCACAGAAGGGGGTAGAATAGAAAAGGAACAAAGGATTACAAAATATGCTGAAGCAGAGCAAAGGGAAAAGACAGGGGCAGTCACACAGAAAAGCAAGATCTGACCTTCTGATGAAAAAAATCTCTGAAGCATTCCAGTTGTTTGTTAATAATGAAGCACATATAAAATGATGAATGTTGTGAAAAATATAATAGGGTTCTAATCTCAGGGAGTTTACAGGTCAAGAAACACAAAAACAGTCAAAGTGTAAACATGCCTATGTGAAAGGTAGTGCATTAAAAGTTGGACCCAGTTTAGGGAATATGATACAATTTCAGAAACTAAACAAAACAATGCAGTGGGGAAGTGCCTAAATAATGTGCTGAGGCTGGAAATAGTACAAGTCTGGTTTGTGGTGAGGGAAAAATAAAGTCACTGCTAAAGAATGCAGCTTGTCACCAAAAGCTGTATCCTTTTCTCCAGTAGGAAATAAGAGTCAGCTCTTCTGATTTTTTTCCTTATAGTCTTACAAGCTGCTGCTGGCACCACCCCCTCCCCAGCTGCAGTCTCCTACTGGGAATGTTTTTTTCTGAATTTTGTCAGACTGAAACTTAAGGCGATAAAATGGAGGATTTGGAATAAACGGTCTCAATGTATTTTTTTAAAAATTGAGTTACAGTCAATTTACAATGTTGTGTCAATTTTTGGTGTACAGCCCCATGCATGTTCTAACTCTGATATTCAATGAATCTTGACCAAAACCAACCAACCAAAACCCCAAAGATTAGCATTAATGCAGTTGCTGAACCATAAAGGGTAACAACTATACACATATAGAGAAGGGGGAAAAGCCAGCATCCCACCAATGATAGTGACAAATGATATATTTAGTGAGAAAGTGTACAAACCAAAGTGATCTGCATGGAAAAAGAGGACTGCTTCCAAGGAGGTGGTATGGTGTCTGCATATTTTTTAAAGAAATGGAAAAGCTGTTTTCTTTCATTCATTACAAAAATATTCACTGAGCACTTATGATACAGGGTTATATACAGTATCCTAACTTGTGGAAAGCTGGTAGGCATTATCACCACAGGCACTCAGCATTAGCAAATCCATCTAAAGGTCAGGACAACTGAAATCATGGTCACATGATTATTTCTTGAATACCCAACCACATTTTAGATGTTGTTTTAGGCAAAGGAGATAGAGCTGTGATCAAGACAGATGATGTCTCCAAAGTCTAAATCCCCTATAGTAGAGGGATATAGTGAAAGTAAACAAAGAGAAGATGATTACCTCATCTACAGCTCCTACAATCCCTAAACTGCCCATGACCTGGCAACTTTTGGAACAGGCATACATTCCAGTGGACCCGTAGCCTAGTCAACATCTGATGATTTGCACCTCCTGACCAATGAAGAGAGGTTGAACAGACTGTATTCTTTTAGAATGAGAACTGGAAAACTGAATCAACTGAAATGAAAGGTCATTGAGCAGTAAATAAGAGGCATATGTGAACTGAAGTTTTGAGGAAACAGATGGTATTAAAGACAGATTAGAAATACTGAGTGAAGCAGACACTAGGAAAAGCCCACGAATGATCCCTGAAGTCCCTGGCTAAGAGAAATGGGAGAAAGTGGCTGTCATGGTTCCTTGACAGCTTTCTGATTCTAATCTGTGTGTATCATTAAAATAAAGCACTCTTCCTCTGAGTTAATTCTGTCTAACACAAGACATCACCACTATTTTCTTTACTAAATGAGACCTAAATTAGACCACCGTTTCCTTCTCACCAAGCAAACTGATTTCCAGAGGGGAAATAGCACCCACTAACCGACAAAAAAATGCTCTCCAGTGGGGCAGATCTCTATAGTAGTTGCAGGCCAAGAGGTTTTCCTCTGACTTAGTGCATGAGTTATTGTTGGGACCACTTCTTTGCTACAATCAGAAGAGAGTGGAATTTTTTTCATCTAAGCATCCTACCTTTGAATTTTACCAGCTCAAAGAATAAGAATATAGACTTCCTCAATTGTCTTTCATCCTTAAAAGGAGTATGCAAATATAACACTATTTGAAAGCTAATAGTAATAAGCCCAAAAATTCTTTGCAAAAGCAGAGTCAGAATATACACTGCCCTTTAAGGAGTTAATAGATGAGAGCTTAAAAAGATACTAATCCCCAATAGAATATTTCTATAGCAGCCAAGGGTTGGCTTTGGAGCTCAGGAAGTCTGTTATTGCACTTACTACACTAAGTTCTCTACCAGATACCCTCCCCCATTTTTTTAAGTTATTTTTTGAAGGATCAGGGCTAACATCACCAATAAAAATTTTGTCTAAAAATTGATGAACTTCAGTTGCAACAATGTTGCCAAACTCTTTAGGAGGTATATTTCTCGGATTCTACGTTTTTTTCTTGTTTAAGTATAGTTGATTTACAGTATTATATTAGTTTTAGGTGTACAACATAGTGATCCAATATTTTTATAGATTATACTCCATTTAACATTATTACAAAACAATACTATATTTCCCTGTGCTCTTAAAACCCTCCTCTTATTTTCCTCCTCCACCCCCACCCCCACTGGCAACCACTAGTTTGTTCTCTGTATCTGTGAGTCTGTTTTTGTTTTGTTATATTCCTTGCTTTACTTTTTTAGGTTCTACACATAAGCAATAACAGAGCACTTGTCTTTCCCTAAGCATAATATTCTCTAGGCCCACCCACGTTGTTGCAAATGGCAGATTCTAACTGTTTTGGGAGTTAAATGGAAAACCAGTCCATTAAACATATATATATCAGTTAAAATACTATATCTGGTCAAGATGGCAGAGTAGTAGGACAACAAACTCGCCTCTCCTCGCGACTACAACAAAACCGTAACTGAGTGCTAAACAACCATTGAAAACAAAACAAAAAAAGACTGGAACCTGGCAAAAAAGATCAACTGGAAACATAAAGAAGGAACCACAGCGGGACGGTAGGAGGGGTATGCTCAAGATATAATTGGGCCCCATACCCTCCAGGTAGGCGACCCACACGCTGAAGAATAATTAAGTCGCAGAGGCCTTCCCACAGGAGTGAAAGTTCTAAGCCCCACATCAGGCTCCCCAGCCTGGGGTTCCGGCATTGAGAGGAGAAAGAGACTTCAGGGCATCTGGTTTTGAAGGCCAGCGGGACTTAACTCCAGGAGCCCTACAGGACTGGAGGAAACAGAGACTTCATTCTCTTGGAAAGTGTATACAGATCTTGTGTGTACCAGGTCCAAGAAACCTGGGCCAGACCTGCCTGCTGGTTTTGGTGAGTCTCCTGGGAAGGTACGGGATGGCTACAGCTCACTCAGGGGACATAAAAGCTGGTGGCGGACATTCCGGGAGTGTTCATCCACATGAGCTTTCCTGGAGGCTGACATCTTGACTGGATCATTAGCACCAAGACCTAGCCCCACCCAACAGCCTATAGCGAAGCCTCACACCAAACAACCTACTAGGTGGGAACACAGCCCCACCCATCATCAGACTTCCTGGGCCACAAAGGCCTCTAGACACAGCCCTACCCACCAGAGGTCCAGAACCAAGCTTAACCCAGCAGTGGGCAGGCAATGACTCCTTCTGCCAGGAAACTTACAGAAGCCTCTAGTCCAGCCTCATCCACTAGGGGGCAGATACCAGAAATAAGAAAACATCAATCCCAAAGCCTGTGGAAGGAATCCACAAACACAGGCCAGACTCTACACTGGAACCAGCTGGACCCTTGCCCTTGGGTGACAAGAGAGGAGTGTACTGCTGGAACACACAGGATGTCTCCCACAAGGGCCACCTTTCCAAGGTCAAGAAACCTAACTAATCTACCTAAAAATACAAGTAGAAATCTAGACAACATGAGGCAGCAGAAGAACACCTACCAGGTCAGGGCACAAGATAAAAATCCCAGAAGAAATAAGTGATGAGGAGATAGGCAATTTATCAGAGAAAGATTTTAAAGTAATGATGGCGAAGATGTTCAGAGAACTCAAGAGAAGTATGGACGCATAGAGTGAAATTTTTAGCAAAGAGTTGGAAAATATAAAGAACATCCAGAGTTGACAAATAAAATCACTGAAATGAATAACACACTAGAAGGAACCAAGAGTAGACCAAATGAGGCAGAAGAACGATTCAGTGAGCTAGAAGACAGATTAGTGGAAATCATTACTGCAGAACAGAAAAAAGAATGAAAAGAAATGAGGATAGTTTAAA